AGCCAAGCCTTTGACCTAGACTAAAATAACAGTGTGCTTGGCTCTTGGTCTCCTTTGGCTCCTTTTATCTCAACTCGAAAAATTCAAACTACAGTTCCATGGAGAAGACTTACTTGTCATCTCTCTTCAAAAAGACGCCAACATAGGGCTGTGCCAGGCGGACTTTCCTCCTTAGCAGCTCAACCAACTTCTTATTTTTAACCTGCAGGAGAACGATGAATGAGGCTGAGGCAGCTGCAGACACTGCTGCTGGCAACACTGTTTGCTACAAAGCCACAGCTTCATTAGTGTCACAGACCTGGAGTGATGATGTGGCAGGAGGCTCAAGTTTAAGGTGGCTTCCTCCCAGCCTTGCACACCATTTCCTAGTTCCTGATCAGTTAGTTACTCAATGACTGACTCCTCCCACCCCCTTAGCAGGTGTCCATTAAAAGTGAAGATGGAAGCTGGGCGCTGGTGGCGCACGCCTTTAACCCCAGCACTCGGGAGGCAGAGGCAGGCGGATCTCTGTAAGTTCGAGACAAGCCTGGTCTACAAGAACTAGTTCCAGGACAAGCTCCAAAGCTACAGAGAAACCCTGTCTCGAAAAACAAAACAAAAAATTGAAGATGGTTTTAATCCCAGCACTTGGGAGGCAGAGGATGGTAGACTTCTGTGACTTCAAGGCCAGCCTGGTCTACAGAATGAGTTCTAGGACAGCAAAGGCTACACAGAGAAACTCTGTTTCAAAACAAAACAACATCAAAGAAACCCCACATCTGAAACAGTGGGGCTTGAGAGGTGGCTCAGCAGTCAAGAGCACTAGAGTTCAATTCTCAGAACCCATATAGTGGCTCACAATCATCCCTAACTTGTTTCAAGGGATCTGACACTGTTTTGAACTCTATGGGCACTAAGCACACATGTGCACATACATGCAAAATACCTGTACACAGAAAATAGATGTAAACACAGACACCTGAGGATGAATGTCACCTGTGTAGCTTCCCCAGTCACCCTGTAGTTTAGGACACAATACATAGTTGACACTAACTTGGAACTCTTGCCTTAGCTTCCCAAGTACAGCATTGACAGGGACAAGTTGCCACACACAGTTCACCTATGAAGTTTCTGATACAGCAAGGCCTGGGAGGGGCAATCCCAACACCTCTCACTGTTTGGGGCTCTTCCTTGTCTGAGTCAGGATGTCATACTGGAGTCCAGGTTGGCTTAAACTCATGACAGTCCTAATCCTCCCATGTGCTGGGATTAGTCTATACCACTCCCCATTTAGGTGGCTTTTTTTGTTGTTTGAGATAGGGTCTGTGTTATTTGAGAATGCCCCACAGGCTCATATATTTGAATGTCTGGTCTCAGTCACAGAACTGGGAGGTGTGCCCTTGCTGGAGGAGTGCCATTGGGGGTGGACTGAGGTTTCAAAAGTCCATGGCAGGCTGTCTCTGCCTGAGACTTGAGGATCAGATGCAAGCTATCAGCTATTGTTCCAGTGCAAGCCTGCCTGCCAACACATTTCCCATGATGTTTACAAACTAACATATTACTATAAGCAAGTCGCCAATTAAATACTTTATTTTAAAAGTTTCTTGCTCGTGGTATCTCCTTACAGCAATAGAACAGTTAACTAAAATAGGGTCTCATATACTGCAGGGTAGTGTCCAACTTACCTTGTAGCCAAGGATAACCTTAAACTCATTCCACCTTAGGCTAGGATGACAAGTGTCTGACATACATCCTGTGTATCATGTTGAGGCCATTACCTCCTGTATGCTAGATGAACACTGCACCCAGAGCCTCAAGCAACACCAGAGCCATCCCTGTATTGGCAGTTGTAGATATGAAAGCTGAGTATTTCAAATAGATCCTTTCACTGGCTCCCAGGAGCCAGCTATAATTCTTTGCTGGAAGCTGATGGCTGGGCCACCATCAGTGTCCCCTAACTTTGGTCATTGAGGTCCACATGCCAGAGTTTCAAGGCCACACCCCAAATGGCAGACATTGGAAGATATGTCTCTTTGCTCTGCCCCTGGAAGCCTAGAGAGTAAAGGGGAATCTAGAACAGGCCTCCAGGGCAGTTCTGCAGTATCAGAACCTTCCAGGCATTCATTGCAAGTGTCACAGGAACTCCCTCCAAGCAGCAAAAAACAGAGGCTCAATACTCAGTCATTCAGGGAACTGTGAGGGCACCTGGGACCCCAGGGCTGAGGAGGCAGAGAGGCTGAAGGACCAGGAGCTCAAGGCCAACTCAACTACATAGCAAGTTTGAGATCAGTCTGGGCTACATGAGATCCTGCCTCAAACAAAACAAAAAAGCCCCTACACATAGGCCTATATATGACTTCCACAGCAGCTCCCTGACTCTAAGATAGAAGCTTCAATTATGTCCATTTGTCAGATGAGAAAAACTAAGGCCCTTGGGAGCAACTTGAAGAAGGTAACTGTGCCATGTCACCCTCCAGGATTGGCTGGAAGGTGTGTGTGTTCTACCAAATAGGCAAAATAAATGAAGGGCCTTGGAAACACAGGAGGAAAGGTAGAGAGATGTGACTCTCCTCAGATCTATGCTGTCATGCCTGCCTTCAAGACTTGGCAGAGCCAGGAGAATGTAGGGAGGTTGTGGGGTGGACACAGCAATGACTCAATGTATGACCTTGGTACTAGGTTAACTGATAACCACTGGCCTCCGATTTCCAAGTTTAAAAGGAGAAAAATAAAACATAAACGTTGGGGGGGGTAGGTGGCCGATTAGGAAATTCCCTACTTAAATGTCTCTGCTTTCCGTGGATTTCATCATCCTGATCTCTTTTCCTGCCTCCTCATGGCTCATTAATCTGTAAGGATCAGATGAGATGAGCTTCCTGCACTGGAATTTTCCTCCCTTGGGTAAAAGGCTGTTCTAACTTTTATTCTTATTAGGGGTAGATATTAGGGACACTGTTGAAATCTTGTCCTTTTCCTCTTCCTTTGGTATGCCACTCACACTTTAGTCATTTCGACCTTCTCCTAGAATATAGCCCCCAAAGACAGAAACTTTGTATCCCCCACATGTGCATGATACAAAGTAAATAAGGGAGTGGAAACTTCCACAGTTGCTAGCCTGGGCCATAAGACCCTGATACACAAGACTCTGTTAATAACACATGACTGAACAAGGTGGACTCGGACGGTGTTACAAAACTTTCACCAAGATGGAAGTAAAATTCTGTACTCTGCTGCTAGACGGCCTGAAGGACCCGAAAAAGGGAGAATGTGTCCAAACGAGCCACTCAGACTCCCGAGAAGGTAGATGACAGGTAGCAACGCGGTTCAAAAGGTTTCTTAGACACGAGAGCGCTTAGGGACCCCTGGCTCCCGCCAGCGTAGCTGGGGACCCTAAGTCCAGGCGGGGCGCTCCCGTTACCTCCACAATCTTGATAAAGCGCGGGAACACCGGGTTGCGGGTGATGGCGATGAGTGGTAGGTGCGGAAACACATCCGGGACGGTCATGGGCGCGAGGGCCGTGACAACCGGGCCGTCCCCGCCACCCGCCGCGGCCCCGTCCTCCGCGCCGCCCTCGGAGGTCTCGTCACCGCTGCCGCTGCCGCTGCCACTACGGCTGCTCGTGTCCCACAGCCCCCGCCACTGACCCACGCCCGCAGGGACGCGGCCGCCAAGCGCCCAGGGAGCGGACGTGTCGCAGACCCGCCGGCCTCGGCGCAGCCACGACCCGGACGCGCTCGGGACGCGGCCGCCAGTGACCGCCAGCAGCGGCCGCCGCAGCACCCAGCACCGCGCAGCGGCCCACAGGCGCACGTAGCCTGTGCTCGCCGCCATGGAACAGCCATACTGGCGGCGCACCGCGACACGTCATCTCAGCTCGCCCTCTGGTTGTGCACGTGACGACGCGCGCGTGCTTCAGGCTGGGGGCGGCGCTTGGGGGGGAAGGTGGGCGTGCGGGCGTGGCCAGAGCGTAACCTGGCGAGAGGCGGGATACTCTAGGTTGCAGGAGTTGAGGTGGGGCGTGGCTTGGAGCTGCCCGACTGGGGGCGTGGCTCCAGGAAGTACGTTCTATAGAGCAGGTTTGGAGGTGGACAAAAAGGGGAGACGTGCTGTAGATGCTGAAGAAAGAATGACTTGGAGGGGATGGAAGTGTGTGTGGTCCGAGTACGTAACGCTCCACGGAGAGAGCCCTGGAGGAACCGGAAGTGGGGGCGTGACCGAAGGCCGACTTAAAGGGCGGGGATTTGATCGGTTCTGGTGGGGGCGTGGTCATAGAGGTGACTCCAGGGGCGGGGCTTGAGGAGGTGGAGTGGGATGAGGCGGGAGGTGTGCTGAAAGGGCGGGACTTGATAGAGTGGGTGGGGAGGGGCCAAATGTAGTAGAATGCCTGGGGCTTTTGTGGCCGTGGTCGGAGCGCAAGGCTTCGGGAGCTGGTCCTGGAGGAGGCGTGGTCCCTGTTTAAGCAGTACCACAGCGTTCTGTTTCCAATTTTCATGTTTTACTTGAGTAATTTCATTGTACAGAAGGCATAAGAAGGAAAGCACAGCGCACCTCTTCTTTATAACTTTATCCTCATTCTTGTACACTGGTGATACATAACAACAGGTCCCACCATCTTCACACCACCCTGAAGGAGGCTCCCTTAGAGGGCTTTTGCCTCCCTCTCTAATAGGCACGTGGCAGGCCCTGCTCATGTGTGCGTGTTTGGTGTCGCCTGTGTGGGCAGGTATCCATAAGGCGCTCAAGAAAACACTGAAGTTTTAAGGGAGCATCCCAAGCGACCCAGAGTGCATGCTCAAACTCTACAAAGCTGCCGGTGGCTTTTATACATGCCCCAAATCGTGGTTCCACATCCACCTGTCTGAATGCACATTCTATGCAGACTTCCTCGAATTTATTTGTGCATGCTCACGAATCTGACTTATGGAGCTGGGAGCCTGGGTGCTTTCAGGTTCAAAATGCTCTGCTTCCGTATTGCCATGCTCACTCTCACTTTCATTTGGGACTTTTTTTGAGGGATTCTGTTGTGCACATCCAAAATGTTCCTGATAACGACCTTCATATCAGGTACGCACGCGCAGACTTGGGGGTGGGGGCGTGAAGTGGCCTACCCTTAGGTTTTATGCGCATGCTCAGATTCTTCCTCAAGCTCCTTGGCAGTTAGCTGCTGACGACCAGGCAGGCAAGATGCTGTTGTTGATGCTGGCGGCAGTGGCCACTGTGGTCAGAGCTCAGCCAGTGTGCAAGTACGACTGTCTAACTGGAATGGGATGCAGCTAGGGGTGCACGAGGCTGGTCCATGTTGGAGCCGAGGCCTGCTCTCCAGCCCCATTGTAGGAATCAACCTTGACATATCCCTTCCAAGCACATCACTAAAACCCGGTGCTGGGTGTAGAACCAGGGCTTTGGGCATGTATAAGATCCAAGTTCCCTGTGCAGTCTGAAATGTGTCCACCATCCATCCCAAAGTTTCCGGCATCTGAGGCTAGTTAAATCCATGCTGGGGAGTGCGCTGTGCATGTTGCCTTGGTTAGCAACATCTCTGATTGCTACCATGTGATAATGTCTCAATGTATTGCTAAGTGTCCCCTGGGAACCTCGGTTCTCTGGCCCTGAACCCTGAATCATCAATAGAATCGTGCAAGAAGGCACTTGGTTGCTATGAGATTATAGCCAGCCTGAGCAACATAGTCAGACCTGTCTCTGAATTAAAAAATATCATGCCTCAGCCTCCCAAACACTGAGGTGAAAAGTGATAACACTGTCATACACACACACACATTTCAGTAAATATTATGTTTAGTAAATATTACTGTGGGCCAAGAGCCACAGGAACCCAAGAAGTGTAGGTGTCCCAGACAGGTGTCTTGTCCCACCCAAAAGGAACTTATTTGCTCCAAAACAGCAAAAAAAAAAAAAAAAAAAAAAAAAGTAGGAAAGCTTAAGAAATACTTGCAAAAATCATGCTGGTGAGGCTTGGGCTGGAGCTCAGTGGGCAGAGCGCTGGCCCAGCTGGTGAATCCCGGGGTCAACTCCAGTACCACAGACAACTAGCATGGTGGCACATGCCTGCCATCACAGCAGTGAGAAAGAAGAGGTGGGAGGGTTGGGAGATCTATGCCTGGGCTCCTTATGCAGCCTGTCTCTGAATAAACAGTGAAAGGAACCTGGGGGACCCTCAAGGTAGAGAGCACTAAGGCCCTGGGTTCCATCCCCAGCACTGTGCACGGGATGGGGTATGATGGGTAAAAGTCGGAAAGCCCAAGGAGAGCATTTGGAGTTACAGATAGGTGCAAGCTGCCATGTGGATGCTGGGAATCAAACCTGGGTCTTCTGGAAAAGCAGTCAGTGCTCTTAAGAGCTGAACCATCCCTCTAGCTTCTAATTTTTTGTTGTTACTTAATTTTGAGATAGGGTTTCTCTGTGTAGCCCTAGCTATCCTGGAACTAACTCTGTAGAACTGGGATTAAAGGTATGCACCACACCTGGCTAATTATTTAAATTATTTGTGTGTGTGTGTATGTATGTTTGTGTATGTCTGTGTGTATATGTGTGTATGTATGTCTGTATATGTCTGTGTGTATGTGTATGTGTGTATATATTTCTGTATATTCCTCTGTGTGTGTGTATATGTATGTCTGTGTTTGTGTGCATATGTGTCTGTGTATGTATATGTGTATGTCTGTGTGTCTCTGTGTGTGTATGTGTTTGTGTGTCTAAGCATATGTATTTGTGTATGTCTGTGTATGTCTTGTTGCATATGTATATGTCTGTGTATGTCTCCTGTGTATGTGTGTGTTTGTGTGTGTCTGTATGTCTGTGTCTATGTGTGTATGAAGTCAGAAGACAACTTACAGGAGTCAGTTCTCTCCACCAGGGCCAAACTCAGATTGTTAGCCTTTGCAGCAAGCCCTTTCATATAATTAGCCATCTCACTGGCCCAGCCTTCTGTGTGAGCATGAGCCATGAAGTCACTGGATTCTCCTGTCTCTGCCTCCTGCCTCTGTGGTAGGCACACCAGATTGACCAAGTCACAGCACCCTTCCAAGCTCTTATGCTGTTCCAGGGACTGTGGAAGGAGTGTCTCCCACCAACATTCAATGCTGTAGAACTCGCAAAACCCTTCGAATCACTAAGACTACACACTGGGCAATATTTCCAGTGGCAGCATATTAGGAAAGGGCATGATGGCTCAGAGATTAGAACACTGGCTGCTCCTGTAGAGGACCCAGGTTCAGGTCCCAGGAACCACAAGGCAGCTCTCAGACCCAACGCCCTCTGCTGGGCACATCAGGCACTGTATGCAGCCAAAACACGCACACAAGGAAAATATTTAAAAATAGAATAAACAAAAAGCTAAAGCCTGATGATTGCTGTATTTTGATCCCTCTAGGCAGCGCAAAGTGAGGACCGGAAAAGTGTTTGCTTCTATGCCGCTAGCTAGAGGGGTAGGTGGCTCCTCACACTCTCCTGTTCCTCCATGGCCACACAACAGGTGTTCCTACTATTTTTTCCCCCTTCTCTCAATCTCAGTGACCCAGAGTGGGGCCAAGAACCCAAGCTCTGGTCCTCCTGAGTACTGAGGGGCAGGCTGGGCCTCCTCCAGCTGACGGATCTGTGCTGTCTGCAGGACCAGCTGTTCCATGCCTACCCCAACACATATGTGCTCAGGAACTTCTGCAAGAATAACATTGTCCTGTACCTGGGGTGAGCTGCTTCCTTCCTCCTCCCTGCCTTTTCCCCCTGCCTATCATTTTTTCAAACCTCAACCAGCTCTAGCCCAAGTTGTTAGTGTGGCTCAAGTTAGAGAATCCTAGCTGGGCTGGCTGTGGATATAGACAGGAAGACCTGGGCACAGGCAAAGCATTACCACTTAGAGGACAGGTGCCAAGCCTGTGGCTTCCACCAATCACAGCTTGACAAAACAAAACAAAACATTTTCTCGCCTTAAATTTTTTTGTTTTGCTTTTCCAGACAGGGTTTCTCTGTATTGCTTTGGAGCTTGCCCTGGAACTAGCTCTAGGCTTAAAATTTTTTAAATTGCATTCATTTATTTATTTGTGCGTATGGCTGAGTGCACTACAGAACCAATGTAGGGGCCAGAGGCCAATTTGTGGGGAGTCACTTCTCTCCTTCCATACTGTTAGTTGTGGGGATGAAACCCATGTGGTCGGGCTTGGTGGCAAATGTTGTAACCACCCAGCCATTTTGCTGGTTCATGTTCTTGTTTTTGTTTGTCTTTCTAAGACAGAGTTCCTCTGTGTAGCCCTGGCTGTTCTGGAACTCTCTGCAGACCAGGCTGGCCTTGAACTCACAGAGATCTACCTGCCTTTGCCTCCCCAGTGCTGGGATTAAAGGTGTGCACCACCAACACCTGGCTCTGTGTGCTTGTTTTTATAGACAGACTCTGATTTGGTATCCCAGGACAGCCTCAAGCACAGGAGTGGATTGTAGAGTGCACCACCACTGCTGGCCTCCGGTCATAAACGCTTTTTTTTTTTTTTTTTTTTTTTGTAACTGGGTCTCATGTAGCCCAGGCTAGCCTGAACTCTTGATCCTCTGGCCTCAGACTCTAGAGTGCCAGGACAGCAGGCCCCTGCCACCCCACACCTGCCTTATTTCATTTGTGGCCATTTTGTCTCTATGTCATAAAAAATAAAAAGGAGGTAGACACAGTATACCATTCTGGGTGACTCTGGGCTGGCAGGCAGCTTAGAGAGGAGATGGTCTTAGGCCACCCAGCACAAGAAGCTTCCTGATTCTAAACTTTTATTTTTTGTTGCAGGAGGAAGGTTTTTTTGTCCAAGGACAACTTTGAGAGCAGCCTCCCACCACTCATCATTCCCAAGTCAATGATGGTAGATATTTCTCCAACAGAGAAGACTGTGGAGTTTGGGGCGTGGGTCTGTCAGCTGCCAGTCAGAAGAGAGTGATGTCATTTCATCATTTCATTCTCCCCTTCCCTCCCCTTCCCATCCTCCCTCCTTTTCCCTCCTGTTCCCTCCCTTCCCCTCCTCTCCCTTTCCCTCCCCTCTCCTCCCTTCCCTACCCTTCCTTCCTGTCTCCTCCCTTCCCCTTCCCTCTCTTTTCCTCCCCTTCCTTCCCCTTCCCTCCTCTCTCCTTTTCTTTCCCTTATTTTTCTTTCATCCGTGTAGTTTTTACATTTCTCCTTTTCTATTCCCCTCCCCTTAAAATGTTCATTTGAGATTTTGTTTATTTTTATTTGATGTGTATGGTGTTTTGTCTGCATATCTGTTAGTGTACCATGTGCATGCCTGGTGCCTAGGGAGACCCGTGGAGGGCTACGGATCCCCTGGGACTGGAGTAACAGGTGCTTGTGAGCCTCTGCAGGTGCTGGGAGCCCAACCTTAGCCCTCTGCAGGAGCAATTCATGCTCATAGCCACTGAGCCTCTTTCTAGTCTCTCAGAGGAGTTCCTGCTGAGAAAGAAGGGTGCACACAGGTCGACAGAGACCAACTTTACCTTCCTAACTTAGCATCTTGCCAGATAATTGCAGACCCAGATCCCAGTGTGGACGAAATAAATGATTTAGTGGAGGATGAGACAGCTCCATGAGTCAAGTGAGGATATGACTACAAATTGCCAGAATACATAGAGAAACACGGTGTGCAGAGGTAGAGAAGGGAGGGGGGGGCTGTTGCTCACTGGTCACCAGCCAAACAGACAACTTCAGATTCAGTGAGACCTGACATGAGAAGATGAGATCAGAGAAAGTTTGGTGGTTGGAGCACTGGGTTCCATCCCCAGCACCCACATGGTGGCTCACAACCAGCTCCAGGGCATCTGACACCCTCTTCTGGCTCTTAGGTGCCCAGAAGCATATGCCAGATACACATAAATAAAAAAAATAATTAATCGTTTTGAAAGCTGAATTTACTTTGTGTATGTGAGTAACTCCATGTCTGTCTATGCAGCAAGTGCATGCAGTTCCTGGGGAGGCCAGAAGGGGGCGTCCGGCCCCCTGGAACTGGAGTTACAGGTAGTTGTGAGCCGCCTCGTGGGCGTTGAGAATGGAACTCTGATCCTCTGGAAGAGTGGCCAAAAGGCAGGAGGGTCATACGTTCAAGGTCTGCAGTATACATTTAAAAATAATAAGTGCTAAGAAAAATAAGGTGGAGTGCTTCAGGAAATGGTGGAGGTATTAACCACTGACTTCCACATGTGCACAGGGAAACATGCCACACACACAGTAAATAAATGTCTGCTGCAGGGAGTGGTAGTGGTTCACTGCTTTGATCCAGAGCTTGAGGGGCAGAGGCAGGCAGATCTCTGAGTCAGCCGAGACGACATAAGAAAATAAATAGCGAGCATTACTAGCCCAAATCATTTTGGGATCTGCCTCTAGAACAGTTGAATCCCAAACTAATGTCCTAACTAGCTGCAGCTACCAGTACATACTTGTGATGACTCCTGACCTGGGTACCACTACCCAGCTCTCTCCTGCCCTCCCTGTGAACCGGAAGAAACCCGCTGTGCCTACATCAGGGATTTTGTCATTGTTCTTAGGTGGGAGTAGCATCGGTCACAAGTGCTTTATTTGCTTCTGATTCTGTACTACTGATCGTGGTGAATCAGAAAATCATCTCCTACAATTACATCACGAACACCTGGAGTAAACCTACAGGTGTGTGGTCCCCTGTGCCTGCAGCAGGTCTACTCCGATCCACCCTGTGTCTGTGTCCTCTGCTGTCCCTGCTCCTTTGCTGCACCTTGTCTTGTTTTGGAGACAGGGCCTTGTGTAGCCCAGGGGGGCCTTAGTCTAGCTGTGTAGCCAGGGTGACCTTGAGCTCCTGCTCCCCCTGTCCCTCCTCTGTTGCTGGGGTGGCAGGCACACACTACCATGTCTGGCTTATGTGGTGCTGAAGCTCTCCCTATTGAACCCCAGCCCCATTTCAAAGTTTGGTGTTTTGTTTTGTTTATCATATTGTATTAGTGTTCACCTGCATATCTGTCTGTGTATCACATGTGTGCAGGGTCTGTATCACATGTATGCAGTTCCATGCAGGCCAGAAAAGGGCATCAGGTCCTATTTTGGAATACTTGTTTAACTGTGCAAAAATATGTTGCATTTGTTTAACTATGTAAAGATGTATTGCATTTCAAATTTGTTTTTTTTTTCTTTTATTGTATATGTAATAGTGTTTGCCTGCATGTGTCTGTGAATCCCATGTGTGCAGTGCCCATGCAGACCAGAAGGGGGTGTCATGTCCTGTTTCAGAATATTTAACTATACAAAGATATGTTGCATTTGTTTAACTATGTAAAAATGTATTTGCTGGTTTACCTTGCCTGCCTAAGGCACCTGATTGGTTTACTAGAAAGCCAAGTGGCCAATAACAAGGGGGGAGGTAGAGGTGGGACTTCCTGGCAGGGAAGAGGAGACATTTAGGCTCTGGAAGAAAGAAAAGAGAGGTCAGGAAGATGCTGGGGCCTGTCAGCCAGACAGAGGAAGCAGGAAAGTAAGGCATACAGGGTGAAAGAAAGGTAAAAAGCCTGATACCAAACATAGATGAATAGAAACAGATTAAATTACTTTATAAGAGCCAGTGAGCCTAAGCTAAGCCTGAGCATTCATAATTAATACTAAGTCTCTGTGTCTTTATGTGGAAACTGGTTGGTGGCCAAAAGAAAATCCAACTACAGGGTCCCCTGGAACTGGAGTCACAGGTGGCTGTGAGCTGTCATGTGGGTTCTGGGAAGTGAACCTGGATCCTGTGGGGGAACACCATTCTCTAACCACTGAGCCATCTCTCCACCCCTGTTTTGTTTTGAGAACTGGAATCACTCTGTAGTGCCTGCTGGCCTCAGATTCACAATCCTCCTGCCTCAGCCCTAAGTCCTGGACTAACAGGCATATGCTGTCATGCCTGGCCTGGCCTGATACTTAACTTTGGAGAACTCAAAACTTGTAGCCAGGGGTGTTGGTGCAGGACCCTCAGCATAGCATCTGGGGTGTGGAAGTCAGGAGTTTCGCAAGTTGGATGTCAACCAGGGATGGGTAGCCAGTTGTAGGCCAATGAGATCCTGTCTCAAAAACAAAAGCAAAAGTCATAGCTGCCTATGGCTCCATCTCCAGGGACACAATACCCTCTCTTGGCCACATCATCAGGCATCTGAGCTATGTGCATACACACACACACACACACACACAAATAAAAATTAAAAATTCACACATGTATATTTACAATGTATATATTTTAACTTTTTTTCCCTTCAGGTATATCAAGTCCGGTTTCACATGTTAGTGGCGACACTTGTTGTTTTAATAACCAGTTTTGCCTGGTAAGTTGGAATCTTTATTTAAAAAACACATTCTATTCTAAGTGCAAATACTTAGGAATGACCTAGGAACTTTTAAGAAGGGGCAGCCTTAGGTAGTGTCACTTCCCCGCACTCAGAGGAAGGCTGACCCATGAGGTAACCTCCTGTGGGAATAACCAGACAACAGAATTGAATTTATTATTGTATTTTGGGGTGTTTTCTTGGTTTTTGAGGCAGGGTCTCATATAACCCAGGCTAAATATGACTCTGAACTCCTGATCCTCCTATCCCCACCTTCAAGGAGCTAGGATGACAGGCATGGAAAACTGTAACCATAACTCTCTGTCTTCAAGTCCCTCAAAGACCACAGAAGGATAGTATAAACTCTAGAAATGACAGAGACAACTCACTGCCTGGTTACCCAAAGTTCTTTTGTAATCTTCCATCTTTAGCCCATAGGCCATAGTGTATCTGGCAGACTCTTCAGCAATGTAGGAAACTTTAAACTGTCTTTTTGTATTGGCGGTTTATCAGTCATTTTTCTCTGTGTCCTGCATACTGTCTCGCAGACTCTTCCATGAAGCAGGAACTCTGTAGCAATGTCTATCGTGAATCAGCAGTCACTTTTCTGTGGGCCCTGCATGTCCAGTTTATATAGCACAAAGTCAAACAGTCCAGACAAGAGCAGTATTTTGTCCAAATGGCTAGTCTTGCCATATTGGAAGTAAACTCCATAATGAGTTTCTTCAATATTCATCTTCATCTTTCTTTCTGACACAGGTGGTGTTGCCAGGAACAATTATGTCTCATTGTCAAGAAAAACCCTAAACCATTTTAAATGCCATATTCTGTAGGTCTTTGAAAGATTTGAAGAATATCTATCTCAAATACATCTCTGTGTATCTTGAAAAACCTAACTAACTTAACTCTAAGCTTTGACTATCATAGGTAATTATCTATAATCTGTACTCCATTATACATTTAACTAAGCTCAATAAACACAATACCTAAACAAGAGGAGAAATATACATATCACCTTATTGACCTTAAATTGTATCAATAAATGAAAATCTGTTCCAAAACAAAGTATTCATATCTATATCATAATTCCCTTTTTACCTTTAAAAAGATATTGGTTGTGATCATTAACCATTTATAACCAAGTCCATTTAAATGAAAACCAACATTTATAAACAATATTTGGGAATTTGGGCGTCGTTCTTTCCAAACTACTTCCTGTTGATAGGGGGCGCTGTCATGGGGATCCTAAGAAGTTGCAGAAATCTTGGCTGTAGTCTTCGAGGCTGCCTTGTCCAAGCTGTTTTGAATGTTGGATCATCAGCGACTGTTTTAGGGGGCCTGGCTTGATCAAATCACATTAGTCTGGAAGGAATCCACAGCTTTTGGGATATAAGTAGATTAGCCTATTTCCTTGAGAATTTGAGTATGAATGAGATAGTATTTTACAGCTTACATTGTTATGTATTCCTATGGTAAGCTATGTAAAATTAAGTTTATATTTTGTTATATTGTGTTAAATGTTTCCACTTATAATATTTATGCACATTATTTTTTACCATATTCTATGTATGTATACTTTTCTTGTGTTCAAGACATTTTGTATATTGATACAATTTGGGATATTTATCTTGCTGCCCTTTATAGTTCTACCTCTTGTCTTGACACTTATACTCTACCTCTATTTTAGGGATTTACATGTAGGTATATGTAAATAGTTATATTGTTTAAGTATTTGTTCCTGCTTTACTCAGGAAAGTTTTAATCAATCTTTTTAGCTAAGTTCCCGAGTATTACAGATTATCTTCACTCACATTTCCTGTACCTATGAGATTAGTCAGATATAGATGCTTAATCTTCAATCCTTCATAGACATGCAGAACATGGCATTTAAATGTTTTAATATTAGTACTCCATTGACATGAGACACTGTTGCTCCTGACAGCACCGTGCATTTTCCCGAAAATATGTTGGACACTGTTGTTGCTCCTGCTGGAGTTCAATCTCGCCTCAGCTAATGGCCTGTTGGGCATAAAATTGCCCCCACCTTGACCACTGATTTGGACATGCAGTCCTATGTGCTTGCAGGAGACAAATATAGAAGACTGCTTGACCTTGCCAAGTCAGGGTAAGACAGCCATTCTATTTCCCTGCTGTTGTTGTGGTCTGTCAAGTTCTCTTGGCCTTAGCCAAATCTGGGTGTACCAACGTCGCTGTGAGACCTAGGGTGACTGTTCAGGTGGCTTGCTGTTTCTGTCCTTGCTGCACCGTTTTGGAAGTTGTCCATCCGCATTTCCTGTCTACTCTAGTATTGTTATTTTCCTTCTCAGGTCTTGATGAGGTTAAAGATTAAACTATCACAACTATTATTCTCTCTTCCTAGTTAGATATATTAGGTACTAGACTTACGTTTTCCAGCTTAGGACAACTCTATTGTAAACTCCATTATGCCCTCACCCTAGGACTAGATATGTAGGTCATTTTGTTCTCGATTTTCCTTTTCTTAGAGCACACTTGTTATTCACTGTTTTGTATATAGTTTTGTATTAAGCCTAAATCTTTTCTTTAGACTAAAAGGGGAATTGTAGTGAGGTAGTCCTTCTGTAGCACTGACCACGCCCATTGGGGGGTGGAGCTATGGGCAGAGGTGACCTGAGGAAGGAGGTCGGAGGGGGCCAGGAAGGCGCTCTCTTTCTGGCGTGACTCGGACAGGAGAGGATCGGGTTGAATTTCCTGGTGTTCATCTGTCTAGGTTGTAAGTTATTTCTCCCTGAATAAACATCTATTCGACTTATTTGTTTATCCTGATCCTTATTTACCGCAATACTCAGGCTTGTCCCTACCCTACTCTTACATCTTAAATGAACCCATTTCTTTCCTCTCCATTCTGCCATATGGTGTCACCTCTCTTTCATCTTGCATCTCCTGTGTCCTCTCTGTCTCTGGCGACTCCTCTGACTCCACCCTTCTTCCCTGTGTCCTTAGTCTGGTTCTCCCACCTAACGTTATCCTGTCCAGCCATTGGCCAGTTGCAGGTGCTGTCTGTACAGCCTCACGTTGCTGCACCATATGTCGGAAGCTGTCTTTGCCGGGCTGCAATTGGAACCAGCCAAGTGGCCCCAAGTTTGTACCTGAGTAGGGGTGTGTGGATGAGGGAAAGGATAGCTATAGACGATAAAGAAAGACACAGAATAAAGGTCAGGAGAGCAGATCAGTCAATACTGAAATGCCATGAGTTTATTTTTCACCACTCTTATATAACTTAACCAAAAAGGAGAACATGATATCACGTACATGGACTTTTCTTCCTCCTTTTTCTAAGGGTTCAGTAACCACACCTCAGATTCAACTTCTCTTTCCCTAGCCTTGAGGGTCAGGAGTATCCACACCTCAGATCAGGTCTGTTGCTATTTAGAATAAGACAGCCAAGCACCTTACTGTGGCCACACCTTTGACCTTTAGATGTTATGTCTTGCTGAGGACAGTTTTTGAACTCTCTGCCTTTGAGCCAAGATGGAGTGCAGCCATCTTTATGGGCACTGACAGCCAGTTAGCTCTATTCAACTAATCACAGCAACGTACATTCAGAGTGTAAAACTCCACTGTAGTTACTGTCCTATTGTTGTGAAATACCACCGCCAAGGTACTTACAGAAGAGTTTGTTGGGGTTCCCATTTTCCAAGGGTGAGTCCATGGCAGCAGGCAGGTGTAGTGCTACAGCAGCTGCTGGAGACAGAGAGAGAGAGAGAGAGAGAGAGAGAGAGAGAGAGAGAGAGAGAGAGAGAGAGAGGAGCGCTAACTGGGCCTGCTGTGCCCTCAAAACCCAACCCACAAAGGCCACACCTCCTACCCATTCCCGAATAGTTCTACCAACTGGGTACCAAATGTTCAGACGGATGAGCCTATGGGGGGTAGGAGGGGGACAGTCTCACTCAGATGCCATGGTGTATGACTGCAAACATGCAGGATGTGGCCTTGAGACTTCAGCTGCAAAATTCCCCAGAGACTCACTCTGTTTTGTGTGTGCATCGGTCTCGCACCCCTTTGGAGTGCTGAGAATTTGGTTGTTTCCACTGTTTGATTGTTAAGCAAAGCTGTTTCAAGTACTCTGCCTCAGTCACATGCTCCCACTAGGTGTGGCATCCATATGGTAACCTAAATGGTGAGACCTCATCTCTGTGGGACATGGGGTCAGAACACCCTGTGAACACTTACTTGTATATAGGTTTCCATGCAAGTACAAAGCTGTCCATTTTTTTGGATCGGATGCCCAAGAATAGGTCAGCGAAAGTAATCCTTAGGTACAGCCAAGAATGACCTAGAATTCTTGACCCTCCACCTCCCAAGCTCCAGGGTGTGGGCGTTTGCCAGCATGCTGAGTTTCAGTAACTCTGGGGACAGAGGCTGGGACCTCCTGCGTGCTTGGCAGTCACTGCACCCACTGAGTGTTCTTGTGACATCTTCTGAGTGTTCTTCCCACAGGAGTTATCGAATAGTATTTTTGTCTATTTTCGTGGTGGTCAGCTGCCTAGGACCCAAATATACTTCTCTGACAATGGAGGATTCTCGTTCCAGTCCCTGCCTAGAGAGAGGCTGGTAAGTGGCCAGGGAGAAGGGATCATGGTGGAGGTGGATCTGGGGAGGCCCCACGCTTCCTCTGGTTCAGTGGGTAATTAATGCGGAGGGCAAGGAGAGACATTTGCCTTGGTGCTGTAGCTATAGTCAGTGGCTCCTGTAAGTGACCCCCAAGTCGTACTCCTTCAAGCTGTCCTGATGGAATTCATTGGCTCAACTTGACACAACTTAGAGTCATTTGGAAAGAAGTCACAATTGAGAAAATGCTGTGAGGCATTTTCTTAACTGATGACACAGATGGAGCAACATGGATATGGAAGGAAATGCTGTGTGCAATTAATACATGTTAACTAAAATGACAGGCATGCCGGTGGACAGTGGCACATACCTTTCATTCCAGTACTCTAGGAGGCAGAGGCAGATGGATCTCTGTGACTTTGAATCCAACCTGGTCTACAGCGGGAGTTCTAGGGCAACCTGGGCTTCACAGAAAGACCCTGTCTCAAAAACCACAAAACACAAAACCAAAAACTGGCAGGCTTGGGCATGAAGCAACTCTAGTCTTAGCCACTGAGGCATGCCCAGCAGGAGGATTAGCTAACTGTGTGAACCTAGGGCCAGGCAAGAAATAGTGAGACTCAAAGTCAGAGTTTAAAGACAGACAGACAGACAGACAGACAGACAGACAGACAGACACACACACACACACACACACACACACACACACCATAGGCTGCTCTTCAAGAGGACCTACATTTAATTTCCAGCATCCACTGGAACTCATATCTATCAATACTCCAGTCCCAAGAGATCTGTCACCCTCTTCTGACCTCCACCAGTACCAGGTATTTGCTGTACAGACACACATGCAGTTAAAACATCCATATACATTAGGAAAAAGACAAAAACAAAAGCTATGTCCATTCAGGACCCAAAAAGGTGCCTGTCTTAGACTTTCTATGGTTGCTATATCAAAATACCCAGGACTGGGTGATAGATGAGGAACAGAGTCCAGCTGTGGTGTGGAGGCTCACAAGAGGCTGAGAAAGGATAGCAAGTTCAAGTCCAGCCTGGGCTAGAGTAAAACCCTGGTTCAAAATAAAAAAAATACAACAGAACAGAAACTTGTTTCTCATTATTCTTGAGGCTAGGAAGTCTCTCAAGGTACCTGCTAACTCTACTGCCAAGATGGCTGCCCTCTAATGCCAAGATAGCATCTCCAAGCTGTGTCCTGAAAGGAAGCCAATGTGAAGTGGGGGAGGGCGCATGACAGAAGAGCAGAAGCGAGTAAAAGACCTCAAACTTTCTGTGAGAGGAAAGCTGTGATTTGAGTATGATGTGTTCCCCAAAGTCTTGTACAGTCAACATGTAGCTGGTTCTTTGTTTGTTTGTTTTTGTTTTTTCTATTTAGGGGCCCACCACCCCACTTTCAAATAACTACATGGAAACTTATTTGTACTTATGAATAGCCAGCCTTAGCTTGGCTTGTTTCTAGCCAACTTTTCTAACTTAAATTATCCTGTTTCTCTTTAACTTCATTTTGTCTCTGGGCATTTTATCTTTTCTTATTCTGTATATCTTTTTTTCCTTCTTACTCCATGGCTGGCTGTGTGGGTAGGTGGCTGACCCCTGGTGTCCTCTCTATCTATCTATCTATCTATCTATCTATCTATCTATCTATCTATCTATCTATTTCTATCTCTATCTCTGCATTTCTCCTCCTGTTTATTCTCTTGGTAAGACAGTCCCACCTGTCTCTCTCTCCTGACTAGCTATTAGACATTGAGCTTTTAATTTTTTTTTTCAGGACAGGTTTCTCTTTGTAATAGTCCTGACTATCCTGAAATTTGCTTTCTAGACCAGGCTGGTCTCAAACTCTGGAGTGCTGGGATTAAAGGCATGTGCTACCATTGCCTGCCTGCCTTTTAACTCTTTATTAGACCAATCAGGTGTTTTAGGCAGTCAAAGTAACATGGCTTTCTAGAGTTAAACAAATGCAACATAAAAGAAGGCAACACGTTTTTGCATCATTAAATATTCCACATCATAAATGGATGTAACACATCTTAAACTAAAATTCCAAAACATGAAGGTTTGAACTGCTTAGATGTGGGACTCTTGGGAAGTGATCAGATTCTGAAGGCTCTGATGACTAGCAAGCAAGAAATCTTTCCCATTGCAGGGTGGTGGCTCATGCCTTTAGATCTCAGCACTCAGGAAGCAGAGGCAGGCGGATTCTCTGTGAGTTTGATGTCAGCCTGGTCTACAAAGTGAGTTCCAGGTCATCTAGGACCACACAGAGAAACCCTGTCTCTGGAAACAAACAAAACACCTTTCCCACTATAGCTCCCTTCCTCAGTCAGATAATCCACCAAAGTGACAAGAATATGACAAGTGTATTTGGGAATCCCGCTGTAAGGGTGGCACTCTAGTAGGTTAATCATATCACAGAGATCCTACTTTTTAATTGGTTTTTAACACAGGGTCTCGTGTGGCCCAGGATGGCCTCAGACTTGCCATGCATTTGACTGAACTCTGTGTCAGTCAATCTATGGAAGATAATCTCAGAGGCAACAAAATGTGTGGTGCCTATTAGGGAAGGAAAACACAAAAGTCCTCCTGGATTCATTCGAACATGAGTGAGTCCAAATTGGAATCCTATACTTCTCTCCCTGTATATCTGTTGGTCTAGCCTGTGGTACACTGTGTGTTGTATGTGTCTCTGCCTACTTGAGTGACTGTTCCCATGTTTGTCCCTTAAAGAGGGCTTTCTTTTCTGTATTTATTGAACACCATAGAAAGCAATTAGGGAAATGAGTGAGGGTTTCTTAGGCTATTGTTTTTGTTTTAAAGACTGGCCTCAAACTCACAGAGCTCTGCCTGCCTCTACCTACTAAGTGCTGGGGTTAAAAGTGATCAGCATCATGCCCAGTGGGTAAGAGAGTCTTTACATAAATCTCCAACATAGTTTGTGAGGCAGAAGCCACTTCTTTCTTTTTTAAAAAGATTTATTTATTTATTTATTTATTTATTTATTTATTTATTTATTATGTATACAGTGTTCTACCAGCATGTATCTGCAGGCCAGAAGAGGGTACCAATCTCATTACAGATGGTTGAGCACCACCATGTGATTGCTGGGAATTGAACTCAGGACCTCTGGAAGAGCCATTTGTGCTCTTAACCTCTGAGCCATCTCTCTAGCCCAAGAAGTCATTTTCTTGACCCCAATTGATTCTTTAGCAAATGATCATCATTGAGCACTATGCAAAGGCTACTTCTGACAATGTGGGCTATTTGTTGTTAAGGTTACTTCTGACCTGTTAGCTGCTTGATCACTACAAACATCACCCTGTGTCAGGAGCATGGGAGAGTACATGACTTGAGACTGTAGCTATGCCAGGCAGTGGTGGCGCACACCTTTGATCCCAGCACTCAGGAGGCAGAGGCAGGCAGATCTCTGTGAGTTCGAGACCAGCCTGGTCTACAAGAGCTAGTTCCAAGACAGCCTCCAAAGCCACAGAGAAAATCTGTTTCAAAAAAACCAAAACAACAACAACAACAACAAAAACCCAACAACTATAAATATGGCTGGGTGTGGCAGAACACCGTGCCCTTTAGTGCAGGAACTCTACACTCCCCCCACCTCAGCCCCAGAAAGCTAAGCTACCTTACATGGGAAATCCAAATCATAGCAAAGTTCTTTTTTACATTGTTCTCTTAATGGGAGGTTGAACATACAGGCTGAGCATACAGTAGGATATCAGTCTTAGTTCTTGATGTTTTGAGACAGGGTCTCTCTGTGTAGCCATGGCTGTCCTAGAACCTACTCTGTACCCCAGGCTGGCCTCAAACTCAGAAATTTGCCTGCCTCTACTCCAAGTGCTGGGATTAAAAGGTACATCACTAAGCAGTCTTAAGTCTTAAGTAACTTCAATGTGTGTTATGAGCTTGACTATGAGGTCCAGCAAAAGTTCAGTTTTGGGGGTCAAGAGATAATTTTGGGACTGGAGAGATGGCTCAGAGATTAAGAGCACTGAATACTCTTCCAGAGGTCCTGAGTTCAATTCCCAGCAACCACGTGGTAATTCACAACCATCTGTAATAGAATCTGGTGCCCTCTTCTGACCTGCAGGCATACATGCAGGCAGAACACTGTATACATAATAAATAAATAAATAAATAAATAAATAAATAAATAAATCTTTTTTTTAAAAAAAAAGAGATAATTTCATAAAAATGTATCACTACAGAGTACAAAGTCTTGATCCTCCACCTCCCAAGTATTGGGGTGACATACCAGCCCTACCCCCACCTGGTATATAGAATGCTGGTCAAGGTTTTGAGCTTGTAAGACTATGGAGCCCCAGCCTCCGCCATTGAGTACTTTCTATCCAGCCAAAACCTGAGGAGGGGCTGAAGAGATGGCTCACTGGTTCGGAGTACTGGCTGTTCTTGCAGAGAACCTGAGTTCAGTTCCTTCTACCTTCATCAGGTAGCTAATACCAGCTGTCACCCTAGCCCCAACGGATCTGACCCCTCTTTTGGTCTCCAATGGCATCTGTACTCACCCACACATAGACACACACACATAATTAAAAATTAAAAAGTAAATTTTTTTAAAAAATGTCTGTATCGAGCTGGAGAGACGTCTAGGTGGTTAAGAGCATTGGCTGTTCTTCCAGAGGTCTTGAGTTCAAGTCCCAGCAACCACATGGTGGCTCACAGTCATCTATAATGGGATATGATGTCCTCTTCTGGCCTGCAGGTACATATGCACACACATATACATAAAACACACAAACACATCTTTAAAAAATACATCTCTATCTTAGGAAATGTGGGGCTGAAGAGGCAGGGAGATATGGATGACAGTATAGGGGGCCGAGGATGACCGGTGTCACACCCTGGTCTCTCAGAAGGCAGCTGTTGTCCTTGATCCTCTACTATGGTTGTTGTATTCTGGAGGCAGGAGATTTTTCTTCCTGAGCTTGGTGAATGATGTAGATTATATTCAGTGCGAAATGCAAGACACTGTGTTGTCTCAAATGATAAATGTGTTATTGTCACAGGTATTTCATTCACATGCACCATTTCCTCTTTGTTGCACAGGACAGATTTAACGGGACATTAGGAGGCATATTCCACTTTCATTCCATGTCTCAGGTGGGGATCCTTGAAGTTAAAAACTCTTTGGTGAGTACTACACAAGGTGTAGAGGGTAACCACAGAGACTTGGGAACAGTACTGGGAGATGGGGGCTCCTACCGTTACAGTTATCTCTTTTGGAATTTTTGTTTATTTGTTTACTTTCTTAGATAGGGCCTCACACAGCCAAGACAAGATTATCCTTGAAATTTCCCATCCTTCTGTCTCTATTTCCCAAAATGATGGGAGGATATAACATTCTAGGCAGGTAGTCTTCTCTCTGTATCTGAGATACACGGATCTTTCCATTCATCTGCCCATTCGGGTACCACTTATGTATCAAGTCATTCTGCCACTTACCCACCCAAATAGCCATCCATCCACCTGTCTTAGTTAGGGTTTCTATTGCTGTAAACAGACACCATAACCATGGCAACTCTTATAGAGGAAAATACTTAATTGGGGATGGTTTACAGTTTCAGAGGTTTAATCCATTATCATCACGGTAGGAGGCACAGTGGCATTCAGGCAGACATGGTGCCTGAGAAGGAGCTGAGAGTCCTACAACTTGATCTGTAGTCAGCAGAAGTGAATTGTGAGCTATCAGATAGACTTAAGCTTCTGAGACCCCAAAGCCCACCCCCTAGTGACATGGTTCCTCCAACAAAGCACACCTACTCCAGAAAGGCCACAGCTCCTAACGGTGCCACTCCCTGTGGACCCATGTGGGCCGTTTTTAAAACTATGATTTATTATTTTTACTTTATTTTATGTGTGTTGGTATTTTGCATGCATGTATGTCTATATAAGGGTGATCTCAACTGCTGAGCCATCTCTCCATCCCCCATATGGGAGGCAGGTTTACTCAAACCACCACACTTCCCACCCATTCACTCATCTACCACCCTACCCACTCACCTATTCATCCATCCATCTACTCAGCCAACTACCCACTACCCATCCACTTACCCATCTATTCATCCATTCATCTATGACACCCATCCATCCATCTGCCCATCCATCCATTCATTTACCTATGCACCCACCCACCTCTATGCAGGGCTTCACTGCTGGTCCATACCCTCGGCAAAATTGGAAATTTGAAGGTGGTTTTCTGCCCCCTAACTCTCTACCTAGTACTTTTCCTCACCCCATGATCAGCCCTTGGTCTGTGGGTCTGTAAAACTGCATCTTTAGGGCTCCCTCCACATAGGGCAGTCATACAGTTAACACCATTGGCCCATTACTGGGGAAGCTCTATGAGAAAAGCTGAATTGGGTCATGAGCCCATTTAGTCTAGGGAGTGCTTTGGCTTGCAGATCACCTCTCTGCAGTCAGCTCAGCTTGGTGATGTTGACCAGAGAGGGATATAGGGTCCCACCCAGATCTCTGCAGGCCTTGCTGAGGGAATCAGCTCTTGTGTGCAAAGCATGGAGCAGGAAGGTACCTATGCCAGGACAGGGTGCACAGTCAAGTCTTCTCATGCATTGTGATTTCCCAGCATCCAGAGTTCCAGGCTTCTACATCCCAGATACTGTCTCTTCAGTGAGCAAACATGCTCAGAGCCACCGGTGCAGGCTTGCTGGGCACAGGGATCCCTGCTCCTACTCATGTGGCATCTTCTAGAAAAGGGGCACAGGTGCCACATAGAGAATCACAAGTCAGTAGTGATCTTTAAACTCTATACCTGGGCTCCATCAATAAAATGCTCAGTATGTAAATATGAAGACCTGAGTTGCATCCACCAGAGCCCTCGTAAAAAGCCGAGTGTTGTAGTGAGATATCCACCCTGTCACACCTGTTGTACTGACCATGCCCATTGGGGCATGGGCACAGGTATGAATGGGACCTGTGGAGAGGCTAGGTCTGGGGTCTGGGACCCCAACTCATTCTCTTGCTTCCTGGTTGGGTTTCGGAGAGATTCTGGGTGGCCTACATGGAGTGGGAACCTGCAGTGGTCATCTGTTTCAAGTGTACGTGATTGTGATGAGTGTTGTAATTTAATGAGACAAGTAGTTCTTGAGAGAAAGATGCCATGTGACAGGGTTCGAGCAAAGGATTTGTTTTAATTAGGAAAAGGGATCATAAAAAGGGGAAGGGAAGCAGGGAGACCAGCCTCCAGAGACAGGAGGAGCAGGAGAGAGGAGAGAAAAGAGAGGGAGAGAGAGAGGGAGGGGGCAGAGAAAGAAAGAGAGAAGGATGGGAGGTGGGCAGGGCCCTTTTAAAAGGGAATATAGTGAATATGCACAGGTGGTGCTCTTAGTCAGAACCTCAAGGACAGGCCTGTACAGATGCCTGAATGCTAAGAGTGATGGCTTGCACTGGAAGTGTCAAGAGCATGGGACATGGAGGCAGGGGCATTCCCAGGGCCTTTGGGACCATCAGCCTGGTCTATTTGATGAATTCCATGCCAGTGAGAGACTCTGTCTAAAAGAGAATAGGCAAGGAACAAGACATGGTGGCACACACATCTGGAGGCAGAGGCAGACAGATCTGTGAGTTCAAGGCCAGCCTGATCTACATAGTCAGACCCTGTTCCCAGCAGCCATGTTCAGCTGCTCACAGCCATCTGTAACTCCAGGTCCATGGGATCTGTCTGTTTAGTCTCTTTAGACAGGCACACACGTGTGACAGATATTCACACAGACATAAAGGTTTACATGTAAATTAAAATAACTCATCCCTGTGGTGTGACCTCAGCAGTCCCTCACCAAGAACAGTCAGGTCAGAAACTTAGGGCAGAAGCATGGAGGGATGCAGTTGCTGGCTCATTCCTCCTCAGCTTACTTAGCTGCCCAGAACCTAGGGAACAGTGCTGCCCACAGTGACTGGATCTTCCCTTATCACTTAACCTGATCAACACTCTCCCATGTTCATACCCAGAGGCCAAGTACTCTCTCCCTGGGGTGCCTGGAGGCTTGTGTCCTCCTGACTAACCATCAGGGGCTGGAGAGGTGACTCAGCAGTTAACATTGATTCCCAGCCTTGAAGAGGACCTAATTCAGTTCTCAGCATCTATACTAGGTGACTCACAAGCACCTACAACTCCAATTTCAGGGGATCAGGAGACTTTGGCCTCTGTGGACAGCCTCCGCTCCCCCCATACATGTATCAGTAATTTTTTTACGTTTAAAAAAAAAAACACTCTCCATTACTTCCCCCTAGACACTGGGGAAAACCTCCCTGTAGGACATACTCTCTGGGGCATCCTGGGATGGGCTGGGGCTGGGTAGTGTCTTTGGCCTCTGCTGACACCGTCCCTGGAGTGCCCTGGTCCTGGTGGCTACCTCCCTGACTTAATACCACTTCAGGATGCTGGCTGAAAGGAACAGTACTGTCCCTGTGGATTTGCCTGTTTGACTCTGTTGCCTCTCTTATCTCAGGGTACATTTCATTACTTGGAGCACCCCCTGAACAACAGTGCAGGGGTACCCTTTGCGTACAATGAACCTCTGAACGTCATCATCAAGGAAGGCCACAGAGGATTTCTGATCCTCTGGAGTTATCAAACCCTGTATGTGTCCCCCAATGCAGGTGAGCTGTACTCTACCCAGGCCTCTACCAGTGGGGATGGATTTAGACTAGGGACCCCAAAGGCCAGAGGCCAAAGGCTCAATTATTTTCTTTTACATTTAAAAAAGATATTCATTTCACCCACCCTGGGACTGATCAGCAAGTCCCAGGGATCCTGCTATTTCTGCCTTCTTATTCCTAGGATTACAAACTGGGCTAGACTTTTAGGGAGGTGCTGAAGGTCTGAAGGCAGGCCTGTACTGGGGAATTCTAGGCGGGGCTCCACTCCTGACTAGCCCACCTCTCTGCCTCTTAGTTAATTTGATGTAGAATCTAAGTTGCCCATGCTAGCCTTGAGGTCATTCTGTATCCCAGAAAGGGCTAGAAGTCTGCTTCCTGATGCTTCAACCTCGTGGATGCTCCTCCACAGTTAGGTTTTAGTTTCCTTAACATCAGGGACACATACACATGCACGGGGACACACACACACACACACACACACACACACACACACACACCACTCAACACCACTTTAATGGTTGGTTATCAGCCTTTAAACAGTTTTGTTCTTGAAGATTTACTCTGTGGTATCCCCTCTGTGAACATGGAACACTGTTCTTTATTAGGTCACTTTTTAGAACTCCATTACCAAAGAGACTCAGACGGGTTGCCTTTCCGCAGGTGTCTGCCATTGGGCTTTTGAATAACAAACCAAAGGCAAGCCATAAGAACCTAGTGAATGCAGAAGAGAGGTGTGGGGGCCAGGCAGGGATGCCCCTGGTCTGGCAGCGTGGCGCACTTGGGAGGGACACATGTCATCACTGTCTACCTGTCTGCTCCTAGGCCAGATCATGGACACCGTGCATCTGTGGAAAGGGCAGAAATGTCTCACCTTGGATATCTGCCTGACTGGCATCACCATCCACAGTGTTGCCTCGAGTATGTGGCCAACCTGTTGTTGGCTTGCTTTTTTCTCAAGCCTCTTGCCTCACTTCAGCCTCCCCACCTCCCCATCCCCACCTGTGGTTGAGTCAGGCTCCCTCTGTCCCCTGGAACCCCTGACGCTGGGTGGGGTTGCAGTGAGGGATGACTGATTTTTGCCTTTTCTTGTTTGTTTCTTACTGCTGCTTACTTCTTGCAGTCATGGGTGTGAGGATGTTTGCATGCATGCCAGGGTGAATGTGTGGAGGTCAGAGGACCCACTATGTGGGTCCCAGGAATCAAACTTAGGTCTTCAAGCTTGGCCGCAAGCACCTCTACCTGCTGAACCTTTTCACTGGCCCCTTTGTTTTGCACCTTTCCTGGCACCTGACCTCATCTCTGCTTTTTCCTTTTCTTTTCCAGATATTTATGAGCTAGCTCTGCTGACAGAAGATAATAATCTGTACTATGGGAGTCAGGGTTACCTGGGAACTTCTGTAATCCTGGTATGTCTGAGTCCTCAGCAACAGCTATGATGGGAACCCTTCTTTCTTAGGCCCCTGCCCCTTGTTGAAACATAGGCATCACTCCAGTGAAATGTCATTTTATTTTGAGGCGAGGCCTCATGTAGCTAAGGCTGAACTTGAACTCCATTTATAGCCAAGGATAACGGTGTAGTCCTGATTATTGCAGAATGATCCAATGGCAGGCAGGCACCACCATGCCCAGTTCTGGGGGATTTTGCACATAGAATCCAGGGCTGTGTGCATGCTAAGTAAGCACTCTACCCACTGTGACCCACCCTACACAGTTATCCTTACAAGCAAATTCATCAGGACCAGGTTCAAACCCCCAGAACTATAAAACAAAACAAAGAAAAACAACGAAATACACATATGAAGTGACTGGCTTGTCTCTCCCCAGAAAGTGGGTGCTTGATGTGGCTGAGGTTCCATCTCAAGCAGCATTATATTCATACACACATAGCAACCAGGCTGAAGGGCCTGGGGATGCGGGGGGGGGTGTCACAGCGATCTCTCCCAACCAAACCTGAAGACCTAAGTTCAATCCCTGGGACCCACATGGTGGAGGGAGAGAATTGCTGTGTTTGTGAGGCCAGCTGGGGCAACTGAGTAAGACCTCATAGAAAGAAACAAAATGAAAACAAAAGAAGGAAAGTGAAGGTTGGACCTCAGACCTGGGTTTTCTCATAGCTGTCGAAGATGCTTCTACAGCTTGATGACACAAGCATCTCATTTACGGACACTGGCGTGCTGGAGATCCTCACGATGGTGGCCGACCCACAGTTCCCAGCATTTGACTTTCAGAAGTGCATTGTGAATGTGCAGGCTGTTCTCATGAATCCCAGCTTGGGCATTGAACAGTGTAATGTAGGTGACCCCCATGATCTAAGTTAATTACTGGTGACTTTTGTGGTTATTTATTTCTGGCATGGGTAGCTGGTGGTAATGGGGATGCTTCCTAGGGGCTTATACAATGGGGGAGAGTCAAATTCCAGTAAGATACTCCCTGCATCCATCTCTGCTTTTAGAATGGAAGCTGAAGGAAAAAAATTGAGTGAGGTAGAGGTAGAAGACTGTCATTCAAGTTCCTTAGGTTTCAGTGAAAGGGTTTCAAATTCCGTTTAAGCCTGTGCAGCTCAGCAAGACTTCCGTGTTAAAAGAGAAAGTTAATATGGGACTGGGGGTATGGTCAGGATGGAGCCCCCCTAGAGTCCCCCAGTGAGGGGTTGGGGCATCTGCATAGCAAATGCCAGGGTTCATGTTTAGTTCCTGATATTGCAAGAAACAGGCAAAAAACATTCTGGAAGAACTCAGTTCCTGGAAAAGTATAGTGGGGATGCTTGCCTACATCAGGTGCTCTGGGGACACAGGGTCTAGCTGTGGCTCTCAGTGTGAGGATAAGAATCTGTGCCTAATGTGCAGCATCATCTATTACAAGCACTTTTCCTGCCAGCCTGGTCCCACAGCTGCGCCAGCCCCAAATAACACAGAGAGACGCTGTATTAGATATAAGGCTGTTGGCCTGTTACTAGCGTTTTTTAATTGGCTAGCTCTGTCTTAAATATTAACCCATTTCTATCAATCTAAGTGTTTCCACATGGTCTTATCTTACCAGAGAGAGGTAAGAACCTCTTCTCTCAATTCTCTACATCTTGAATCTCCTTACTACATCTCCTATCAATTGCCCACTTGTCCCTGGATCAGTCTTTGCTTATTTTCAGCTGTCTTCCCCAGGTGGAGCTTCTGGAAAGCACCATGGTAAATCAGATGTTCACAATAGACATGAACAGCAAGCTGGGTCTGTCTGCCCTCCTGATACCTCGGCCGGGCAAGACCCTCACACCACTGGTGAGTGTGGATCCAGCCTGCATACTCCAGCCTGGACCACAGAAGGACACACTGGCCCGGCCCAAAGGCTCCATACTCCACAGTGCTGCCAGCCCACAACCCAAGAAGTTCGTGTTCATCCAAACTTCCTGTCTTCTCTCTTTGCTCTTCCACATTCCTCCTATTCCTGTTCCTCCTTTTCTCCCTCTTCCTTCCTTATCCCCCTTGTCCATCTTCTCCTCTATCTCCTTCTCCATCTTTTCTTCCATCTTCTTTTCCCCCTTCTCCTCCCCCATCTCCTCCTCCTGCTTTTCCTGCCTTCTCCGTCTCTCTTTGTCTCTTCATCCTCCCACCCAGGGTACTCCAACACCCCACAAACACATACATTCTCCCTCTTGCCCATGCCATCCTGCTGAGTCTCAAAGCTCAGTGGCCTCAGTCTCTAAGGCTGTAGCTAACAGGCAGAAATTCCAGGTGGGTGTGCTGTAGCCCAGGAGTGTGTGTGCAGAAGCAGCTTGGTTGGTTGTGCTGAGGATGCACAGGGTTCCTCTGGGTGTCTGTCACAAGGTGACAGCTGTCTGTGTATTATGTCTTAGGTGATGGTCAGCAACCCCCATTCCCTGGGGTTCGAGGCACACATAGTTGAGTTTGGCAACACTTTCGACGGCAACTATAAGTACAAACTGGTATGTGTCTGTGGCCATGTCAGGGGCCTTACAAAACCCAATAACATCCCAGGCACTGTTTGTTGTTGCTGTTGTTTGTTTTGTTTTATGTTAATGAGACAAGATGTCCCTCAGTAGGCCAGGGTAGCCATGGAATATGTTATCTCCCCTTGGCTTCTTAAGGTCTGGATGGTGGGAATGTGCTATTGTGCCTGACCCTCCATGAAGCATCTCCTTTATGCTCTGAAGGGATCAGCCTCCCTCCTCCTTTCCTGCACAGCACTGACTCATCTGCCCTGAGTAACACAGGCAGCTGCCACCCACACATGCCCTGTCACATGGGAGAGGCTGGGGTACACCAGGCACAGGAAGGGTGAAAGCCGAGTTATCTGCAAGAACTTCAGTAGAGGGCTGGGTTCCAGCCAGGGACCAGGTATGGGGCAGTTGTCCTGTCCCCCTTGCATCTGTGAGCCTCAGGTTCATGGTGGGAGTTGCCTGTGGTGCCTAGGAACACATGGTTAGTCTACATGATGGATGTCACCTTAGCAGGCAGGACTTGGCCAAGCCCACACACCAGGCAACTCCTTGGGACATTATAAAGGTTAGTGACAGGGGAGACAAAGTTGCATCTCATGGGGGACAGTAAGGGTTGGTGTCACAAGGGCCATGAGCCCCTCAGCTCTGAGAACTTGCAGGGAGCTTTCCTATAACATAGAAATAGGACATAGTGGGGTTGGACAGCAACGGACAGAGTCCCACAGTGCCCATCAGTCACCCTTCTCTTACTAGCCCTGTCCCATTTGGAGTGACATCTATATGGACCCCTGCCTGTAACTGGCTGTCTCTCTGTGTGTCTCTCTGTCCATGTCTCTGCCCCTGCTGCCATTCCACAGGAAATTGAACTCCAGCAACAGCATCACTGGGGCATCGCGGACACCAGCTTCACTGCCAGGTATCTTATGAGGTCTCAGGGTTAGAGGCTACTCCCCACTGCTATCTACAGTGACTCCCAGAACCACAGTGGGGAAAGCAGGCTGAGGTGCAATCCTACCTCCAGAACATTGTGATAAAATTAGGGGCAGGGCTTGGAGCTCATTGGAGGAGCACTTACTCAGGGAGCATGCAGCTCTGGGTTCCTGGCCCAGCATCTCAAGTCCTGAGTACAGCAGCATGTGACTGTGATCTTAGTTCTGGGAAAGTGGGAGCAGCCTCAGCAATTATATAGGGGGGTTAGGGAGTTTGAAGCCAGCCCAGGTGATGGGTATGTGTGCCTTCGTGTCTGTGTCTGTGTAGTATCTTAGCCTCTTTTCCGAGGCTGTAATAAACACCATGATTTTTTAAAAAAAAAAAAAAAAAAAAAAAAAAAAAAAAGGAGCTTGGAGAGGAAAGGGTTTATTTGGCTTACAAGGGCCAATCACAGTCCATCTCCAAGGAAGTTGAGGAAGGAGCTAAAGACAGGGGCTGATGCAGAGGTCATGGAGGAGCGCTGCTTCCTGGCTGCTCCTGGTGGCTCAGGCTGCTTTTTGTTTGGTTTTGTTTTTTGTTTTTGTTTGGTTTTTTGTTTGTTTGTTTTATTTTGTTTTTCTGAGACAGTTACTCTGTGTAGCAGCCCTGGCTATTGTGGAACTCCCTCATAGACCAGGCTAGCTTTGAACTTAGCAGAGATCCACCTGTCTACCTCCTGAGTGCTGAGATTAAAGGTGTGTGTCACCATGGCCCAGAACTCAGCCTGCTTTCATGTAATTTTGGTTGTGAGTCAAACCTAATGGCTTAGCCATCTCTCCAGCCCAAATGCTTTCTTATACAACCCAGGACCTCTCTGCCCAGGAGTGGTACCACATCAACCTCTAACCAAGTCAGTGTTACACAGGCCAACCTGATGGGACAAAATCTCAATTGAAGCTCCCTCTTTTTGGCTGTGCCAAGTTGACAACCAAGAGTAGCCATGACAGTTACCGGCAGGTGAATGGATAGAGTGGATGGCAGTGGTTGGACAGATCCTGGTGTGTGCGGATGGATGGTTGGCAGGATGGGTGAACGTTTTGATGAGTCTACCAGTGATCACTATAACACAGACCTTTCATCCCTCTTGCAATCTAGCATCAAGCGCAATGCCATCTCCTCTGTAACAGTGGATATAGCTGACAAGACAATTGCATGCGTGGACCTGAAGCCCCTGGTATGTGCAAATGTTTGCTACCTGACATTTGTTCATGTGCTGAGTCATGGAAGCCAGTCTCACCACACTGGACAGGCTCTGGTTTGGAAATATAGTGATATTGTCCTGGTTGCTGAGGTCACTTGCCATCTGGGGGAACCCCTCAGCATCCTCCAGGGGAAGTACTGTTTCCTACTTGGCATCTCTGTAATTATTCTGGCCAATTTGAGGAAACAGAACTTCCAGAGCAGTGGGTCCCAACCTCCCTGATGCTGCACCCCTTTATGACCCCAACCATACAATGAAAACCATATTTTCATTGCTACTTCCTAATTGTAATTTTGCTACTGCTATGATTCATAATATAAATAATCTGTGTTTTCTGATGTTTTTAGGTGACCCCTGTAAAAGGGTTGTTTGACCCCATAGAGGTTGCTACCCATATATTGAGAACCACTGTTCTGGGTGCTTCCAGAGACTTGGCTGACAGTGAGAAAACTGACAAATGGATAAAGAGAATGTGGCCCGCCTGTTTGATTGAATATTACTCAGCCAGGAAAAGGAATACCATTCCTACACACAATTACAATGTGTATGACCGTGTACTTTTGAAGGGAGGGGATGAGGAGTTAGGTGTTTGCTGGGACAGAGCTTAGGTTTGGGAAGATGAGACACAACACTGAGAACCACTGAGTCAGGATCAGGCTTGGGAATGTGTTCCAGGTAGCATTCCACAGCAGCAGGGCTGACAGTGGCTCTTCATGGAGTATGTGATTGCCTCTCTGCCTCTGTTCCTTGCAGTCCACACTCATCTCAGTTGGCTGTGATCAGACCAAGAAGATTCTCGTGCAGAAGTGAGTGGGACAGCACCCGGGACAAGGGAGGCAGGGTAGGACCAGCATAATCACTATAGTGAGGCGACATTATTTCATCTACTTTTGTGTATGTTTAGCAGTTCTGTAATAGGGAATTCAGGGCCTAGAGAGAAAACTCAGCCATTAGAGAAACAGCTGCCCTTGCATGGTGGCTCACAACTGTCTGTAAGTCCAGGTCCAGGGGACCCGACTCCCTCATCTGATTTCTGTGGGTATAGCACACACATGGTGCTCAGACAGACATGCAGGCAAAACACTTGCACACAAAAAATAGGCATTCAAACACTTGGATATTAAGTTTAAATTACATATTACTAAATGTTAAATTTAAATATCAAAAAACAATCAAATTCCTGCATATAATTGACAGTTCTATTACAAATCAAAACACTTGAGAACCACAAATTCCTGGAAGCAGCCTCTCCTGAGCCAGGAGGTGGTTGGTCAGCCACACACGGAGGTGGTGACGTCATGCTCTAGCCTCACAGTGTATGTGACTTGAGTTTGTTAGTACGGAGATGCCATGACCTTTCTATTATGATTTGCTCTTTCTTGTGTTAAAAACTGTGTGTGTTGTGTGTGTATGAGTGTGTGTGTATATGAGTGTGTGTCTGTGGGAGTGTTTTGAGTGTATGTGAGTTAGTGTGTGATAGTGTCTGTGTGGATAGTGACTGTGTGAATAGTTGTGAGTATGGGTGTGTGTACGAGGGTGTGTGAGTGTGAAAGTGAAAGTTCTTTTGGAGTCCAGAAGCATCAGATCCCTCAGAGTTGGCATTACACAAAGTTGTGAATCTGAGCCCCCCCCATGTGAGCCATCTCTGCAGCCACAGGTTTTAATTTACACAGGATTTGGAACTCTGTGGGGGTCATTGCAGGCGCCCACACTCCACAGATGGTGCCAGTGTCCCCCCCTCCTAGCCTCCCAGGTGAAGGGCACCCCCTTCAGTTCCTGTGTCCCTCTTCCCACTGACATTTGGTTCCTGGGTGTCCAGTCCCTATTCAGGTCAGCCCACTTCTCTCCATTACAGCAAAATCTCCGCCTGTTCCATGGGAATCCTCAACCCAGTGGACCTGCAGGGAAACTACACTTACACCATTGAGAAGTAAGTGGGGTGTTGCCCTCCACACACTGGGGACAGAAACCCAGGGAATGAGGAAGAATGATTTAAAACTGATGTCTGGTCCAGGGGAATCACACAGCCACAGGAGCTAGCCGGATGCAGTGGCGTTCGAGAAGCCACCTATGGAGGACCTCCAAGTGCCAGTTCCAGTATTCTCTCAGGGTTCTGGCATCCTGCCTGATGCTAACAAAGTGCAGAATATTATTAAGGGTATCTGAGGGTAAACAATACCCTATTCTCCTCATCCTGTCTCTTTATTTTTCCAAAATTCTCCCACTTCCTACAAAGTTTCCAGTTTATATACCCACACAGACACAATTAGCAATTCTCTGGCAATAGCACACACAGATACCAGGCATGAAAGTGGTGACCTGTTATCTTGTCTCAGAGGGGATGTGAAGCACCTGGCATACCTGAAAAGGGTCAGTACAGGAAGAGGCTGATTTCTCAGAGGGGGGCCGGGTGCTAGTGTGCACAACTACATTTGTGTGGCTAGTCAAGTTGGCAGTTTGTAACTGATAAACGTAGAAAAAGGGAAGAAAATGTGGCAGTGCTGTGCATTCTCCGAACACTTTCTTCCACTTCCTGCTGCAGAGGCTGGAAACACTGCTTTGTGGTGACCATGACAACCAGCATACTAGACGCAGCTGCTTCCAGCCCCCGGGGTAAGCAGCAGGGTGCTCTTACCACCGATGCCCTGGTGAGAAGGAATTTCCCTTCTCTGGAGCCTTTTTGAGAATTCAAGGCACCCAGCATATATTCTGTATATGAAGATTATACAGCGAAATGAAAAGTCATCCTGATTTCCCAGATAGATGTGCTCAGTAGATCAGAAATATTTTCATGAGATAAACATGCACAAGCCATGGGAAACACCCAAAGTTATTCTTTTTTGTTTGTTTGTTTTTTGTTTTTGTTTTTGTTTTTCCGGGCAGGTTTTCTCTGTATCGTTTTGAAGTCTGTCCTGGAACTAGCTGTGTAGGCTGGCCTCGAACTCACAGAAATCCACCTGCCTCTGCCTCCCGAGTGCTGGGATTAAAGGCCTGCATCACCAACGCCCAGCCAAAGTTACTCTGAAAGGTAGAGATGAAGTGACTCATGAAGGAAGACAGACAAGAACAACTGATTTCCATAGCCAGTGACTCTGTGGCCTTGCCAGGTGGGGCTCCCTTGTCACTCGTGTGGTAGGTAGGCTTGTTGAATATTGAATATCCTGCTGTATTTCTCACTCCCCTTGACAGCTGTCACTTTGTGCCAGGCACTAGGGCCCATTGCAAGTCCTCTCCTTTGTTTGATGTGGTACTTTAAATCACAGCCAGGCCTCAACCCTAGCCGCCCTAAGTTGTCTTGTTAACTTTGCATTGCTATGAAAAGACATCATGACCCAAAAGCAACCTTAGGAAGAGTTGATGCAGAGGCCATAGAGGAACACAGCTCACTGGCTTGCTCTCCATGGCTTGCATGCTTTGTTTCCTTAAGTAACTCAAGACCCACTGCCCAGGAGTGGCACCACTGACAGTGAGCTGGGCCTCCCACATCAATCATTAATGCACAGTCATTAATGCACCACAGTCATTTTCTCAACTGAGGTTCCCTCTTCACAGATAACCCTGGCCCCTATCACCTTGACAAAAACAAACAAAACAAACAACAACAACAGCAACAATAAAAATGTAATCCAAAAACAAAGGAAGCCAGGTGCAGGCCTTTAATCCCAGTACTCTGGAGGCAGAGGCAGGCAGATCTCTCTAAGTTCTTAGGCCAGCCTGGTCTACAGAGTGAGTTCCAGGACAGCCAAGGCTACACAAGGAAACCCTGTCTTGAAAAACCAAACCAAATCAACCAAAAAAAATACAAAACAGAACATTTGATCTCTTAACACACAAGTACATCAGTATTAACCTGTAAACTTTCATGTTTGTTCCTAATGACTAATGTTAATATTAATATCATATTTAAAGCTGGGTGGTGGTATTACGTGCCTTTAATCCCAACATTCGGGAGCAGAGGAAGGTGGTCTACAAAGCCAGTTCCAGGACAGTCAGGACTGTTACACAGAGAAACCCTGCCTCAAAAAACAACCAAAAAAAAAAATCATATTGAAAAGTACAGTCCAAATCTTTAAAAATTCAAACACTTAAAAAATTTAGTTTCTCAAACATGGCTCCAATAAAACAAAAACCATATGTGAAAGATTTTCCTACTCCAAGAGGGAAAAAGCAGGATGTTGTTGACGATCAAGGGGAAATCAAGTCCTGTGGCTCAGGACTCCACATCTGGAACTCACTTGTGACACTGAGCTGCAGATGTCCTTCCCAGCCCCACTTCTCCAGCTCTGCACTGCACAGCAGTTACACCTCCTGTCCTAGACTCAGGCTAGCTCTACCCCACACCTGCTGCTGTCCTCAGTGGTTGCCCACAACCCTGGCATCTCCAACATGCTAAGGTCTCCTGTAGCAGGAGTTCCAGTTGTTCTTACTAGTAAACACCCAGAGTCAGATATTAGGGGGTGAAAGCTGAAAGATCAGAGCAGAGCAGCCAGCCACTAGAGTTCTTACCTCTACGAAATCCTCAGACCTAAGAGGCCAAGCTCCTGCCTCCTCCCATCATATATTCCTCTCTCCATCCAGCTACATTGCTTCCTGTCTGTCTGTACAGACCTCCAGACTTCTGTGGCTAATTAGTGGCTAGCTCTACCCTCTGATCTTCAGGAAAGCTTTATTTCCTGATATCACCACAGTCTCCTATGAAACTGAGGCTGTGCCTTCACCCGTGGCCTCTCCTGCTGCTCCCAGTGCCAAGCCTCAGCTGCTCTCCGTGACATCCTCTTACCTTCAAAACTAGGACCATCTGGGTGACACTTATACGTTTCCAAGTCCTGCTGCCAGAATGAGGTACATACAACCTTGGGCTTCTCTGCAGCACAGCTTCTGTGTGCTGACTCTCAGGAAACACTTCCCAGAAGATTTCAACTCAGTGATGCTGGTCTCTTCTCAATCTCAGCCGATTCTGCAGCCCCTGCTGAGCAGAACCAGAGAATCTTTGTTTTGGATTTTTTTTCAGACAGGGTTTCTCTGTGTAGCCCTGGCTGCCCTGGAACTTGCTCTGTAGACCAGGCTGTCCTTGACCTCACAGAGATCCACCTGCCTCTGCCTCCCCAGTGCAAGCATTAAAAGCATGTGCCACCATGCCCAACCACAAATTGCAGATTCTTAATGCAAAATGTCAAATGAAGAGCCCTAATAGAGTCTTTGAGGGCCTCTCAAATTTTCCTCTGGAACTCCACAAGCTAGGTCTCCATCCTCTGCACTTCTTTTAACACTCCTGTCTTTTAAGATCTCACAACAGCTCTCTGAGCTGTCAACACTCAATGACTTTTCTAGTCCAAACTTCCAGACTCCTTCCACACCCTCCCCAAAATAACATGGTCCTGTCTGTCACGCAATACCCCCACTCCTGGTACCAAATTTATTTTAGTTAGAATTTCTACTGAGGCCGAGTGTTGGTGGTACACACCTTTGATCCCTGCACTCTAAGGGCAGAGGCAGGTGAATCTCTGTGAGTTTGAGGTTAGCCTGGTCTACAGAGCGAATTCCAGTAGCTCCAAAACAATACAGACAAATCCTGTCTCAAGCAAACAAACAAAAAGAATTTCTACTGGTTTGATGAAATACCATGACTAAGAACAACTTGGGGAAGAAAGGGGTTTTTTCAGCTTACATAAAGTTTGTGGTCCATCATTCAGGTAGTCAGGGAAGGAACCTGGAGGCATGAGCTGATGCAGAAGCCATGGAGGATGCTGCTTGAAGGCTTGTTCCCCATGGCTTGCTCAGCCTGCTTTCTTATAGAGCCCAGGACCACAAGCCCAGGAATGGCACCACCCATAATAGGCTGGGCACCACCCACAATGGGCTGGGCCCTCCCTATCAATCACTAAGAAAATGCTCTACAGGCTTGCCTACGATCTGATTTTTTTTTTTCAAGTAGCTTTTTATTTATTTATTTTATGTACCCAAGTCCATTTAAATGAAAACAAACATTTATAGACAATATTTGGGAATTTGGGCGTCGTTCTTTCCAAACTACTTCCTGCTGGTAAGGGGCGCTGTCATGGAGGATTCTTAGAAGATGCAGAAATCCTGGCTGTAGTCTGTAAGGCTGCTTTGTCCAGCTGTTTTGAATGTAGGATCACCTGGTACTCTGTTTCAGGAGGTCTGGCTTGATCAAACCACATTAGCCTGGAAGGAATCCACAGCTTTTCATTTTCTGTGGAAACAAAAATAGAAATCCTTTTCCCCAGTAACTTGTCCTTGAACTTAAATTTTGGAGTCAAAGCATTTTTTTATTTAATTTATTATTTTACATGTCAATCCCAGTTCCCTCTCCCTTCCTCTCTCCCTCCTTCCCTCCCTCCTTCCTTCCCTCCTTCCTTCCCTCCCTTTTACCCTCTCTGTCCTCTCACATGCACCCTAACCACCCTCCCCTCCCATCCTCCCACCCCAATTCCATATGTAGGGGAATGCCATCCAGTTGGGGTCATGTAGATCTGACAGGTCATGTGAAGTAGGGACTAGGGCTTCTCTCCTGTCTCTAGGTTAAGGCAGTTATCCCTCCATGGGGGATGTGTTTGCAAGGTCCTTTTGTGCACCAGAGATAATATCCTGGCTCCACTGTCTGAGGTCCCTTAGACTGCTCAGTCCTTCTGGCTGAGACCCATATTCAGGGGGGCCTGAGTCAGTCCCATGCTGGCTTCCCAGCTATCAGTCTGGTGGCCCGTTAGCTCCTCCTTGTTCAGGTAAGCTGTCTCTATGTGTTTCTACCACATGGTCTTGTCCTCTCCATCTGCTTCTGGGTTCTAGTTCGACTCAGTGTTTATGTATGGGTGTTTGCTCCTGTTTCCAACAGGCATTAGTTGAAGGCTCCATGGATAAGTTAGTTGTTGATCTCACTATCCGGGAAGGGCATTTATGGTAGCCTTTCCATGGATGCTCAATTGTTAGTTGGCGGCAGTCTTGTAGTTCTCTAGACCTTTCTTTGTGTTCAATTTTATCTTCAAACCAATATTGGCTCCCTCTTTTATGTTCTCTCTCTCTCTCTTTCCTGTCTTCTATTCCTAACCGGGCTCAATCTTCCTGGTCACACGTGTTTTCCTTTCCTCCCCCTTGTTTTCTCCTACTTCTCTCTCCATTCGCTGTCCCCCCCCCCACTTCCCCTGTGCTCTGGGGGACTTGTCCCTTCCCAATTCTGTGAGGGACTTTATATGAATCTCTTAGAATACACCTTGTATCCTAGTTCCTCTGGTGGTGTGAATTATAGGCTGGTGATCCTTTGATCTAGGTCTAAAATCCATATATGAGTGAGTACATACTATGTTCCTCTTTTTGTGACTGGGTTACCTCATTCAGGATGGTTTCTTCAAGTGCCATCCACTTGCCTGCGAATTTCAAGATACCATTATTTTTTTTCTGCAGAGTAGTATTCCATTGTGTAGATGTGCCTCATCTTCATTATCCATTCTTCAATTGAGGGGCATCTAGGTTGCTTCCAGGTTCTTGCTATTACAAATAGTGCTGCTATGGACATAGTTGAACAGATGTCTTTGTTGCATGGATGTGAATCATTTGGGTATATGCCTAAGAGGGGGATTGCCGGGTTCTGTGCTAAACTAATTTCCATTTTCCTGAGGAACCAGCATACTGATCTCTAAAATGGCTGTACGAGTTTGCACTCCCACCAGCACTGGAGGAGTGTTCCCATTTCTCCACATCCTCTCCAACATGAGTCATCATTGGTGTTTCTAATTTTAGCCATTCTGGCAGGAGTAAGATGGTATCTCAAAGTTGTTTTGATTTGCATTTCCCTGATAGCTAAGGATGTTGAGCACTTTCTTAAGTGTCTTTCAGCCTTTTTTATTTCCTCTATTGAGAATTCTTTCTTCAGTTCTGTACCCCATTTTTTAATAGGGTTATTTGGTGTTTTGTTGACTAGTTTCTTGAGTTCTTTGTATATTTTGGAGATCAGCCCTTTGTTGGATATAGGATTGATGAAAATCTTTTCCCAGTCTGTGGTCTGCCGTTTGGTCTTGTCGACTGTGTCCTTTGCCTTACAGAAGCTTCTCATTTTGAAGAGGTCCCATTTATTAATTGTTGCTTTCAGTGTCTGTGCCCCTGGAGTTATGTTCAGGAAGCAGTGTCCCATACCAATTTGTTCAAGGGTACTGCCTACTTTCTCTTTTAAGAAGGTTCAGTTTAGTTGGATTTATCTTGAGGTCTTTGATCCATTTGGACTTGATAGACATTGGTCTCTCTGCAGTCTTCTACACACCCTCATCCAATTGTGCCAGCAGAATTTGTTGAAGATGATTTCCACCCCAAACTCATTGTATACTTTTAGACATTTTTTGGTTTTTCGAAACAGGGTTTCTCAGTGTAGCTTTGGAGCCCCTCCTGTCACTCACTCTGTAGGCCAGGCTGGCCTTGAATTCATGCCTACAAACTACAACCTGATCTTATGAAGGCATTTTCTCATCTGAGATTCCCCTTCCCAGATAACCCTGTCTTGTATCAAGTTGGCTAATAAAGGTAGCACTAAGCCAAGGTCAGCATTGGTGATGCTGGGTTTGGTGGTGGTCTGTCACTCAGGGAGGCAGCACAGTGTTTTTTTTTTTTTTTTTTGTTTTTGTTTTTGTTTTTGTTTTTTCTGGTGCAATACCAAACACACTTAGCTTTATGACTTAACAAACGTAGTCTAGGTGCTAACCTGAGCCCTGCCACCAGCCCCTCCCTGAGGGATTCTAGGTGGTAGGTAGCTCCACCCCTGAGCCACGACCCAGCCCCTTTCTGGGGAATTTTCAGCAAGGGTTCCACCCCTGACCATGCCTCTTGCCTGTTTTCTTAATCATTTTTTGTAAGCCAGGATCTGACACTCAATAATCGTTGCCTCAGCCTCCTGAGTAGCTGGAAGGACAGATGTGGACAACAGCCCCTGCTCACACCATTGTTTATATGGGGTTTACACATCTGTGGATTTTAGCATCCACTGATTACCCAGAACCAGTATCCCCCCCCAGGGTGGGGGAGGTGACTTAGAGAGAGAAGAACACTGTCTAAAGGAATGTTTTTAAAAATATTTTGATTACATTTTATTTATTCACTCATTTAATGTGGCATGTGGTAGGCAGAGGGCAATTTGTGGTTGTTACTCTCTCCTTTCAGCACGTGGGTCCCAGAGAGTGAACTCAGGCCACCAGCTAGGCGGCAAGTGCCTTTACCCACGCATCCCCTCCACCCCTGGGCCATCGTGGTGTATCTCCCACAGCCTTCTGTCCAAGGGTTCCTAACCACACATGGGCCTGAGAGGAGGAAGCTGGGATGGGTTCAGTTTGGTCTTTGTGTGGGTGGCTGTCAATGGATTGGCCGTGGCCCCCTTTCAGGAGATGCTTGAGATTGCCTTAAAATGCACTGGCTAAAAAGGCACACACAGACAGACATACACACAGAGACACATACAAATACACATACACATACATACAGACATACAAACAGGTACAAAGAGACACACACAGGCACATACAGGCACACAAACATACAGATATACACACATAGAAGTAGACACAAACATACATACAGACACAGAAACAGGCACACACAGACACAAACAGATACTCAAAACATACACAGGCAGACACACACATACCCACACATGGTGTACAGAAACACATGTAGGCAAAGCAGTCACACACATAAATATAAATCTGAAGAAAAGTGTCTTTACCTGTCAGTCCTGGCAGGGAGGGCTCAGCAGAGATGGATCTGTAGCTGCCAGGAGCTGAGTCAGATCCAAGGACCTGTGACTTAAGAACAAAACAGTGACCTGGGTGTTGGTGTAGGCTTCTAATCATAGTGCTCCTTGTCTCTTCAAAGGGAAGCCTATGACCCAATAAACCATGATGCCGGGGCCCAGAATGACCTGCTGGTGTATTACCAGTACAAGGACCTGGGCTGCCCTCGCCTGGTCTACTACGACAAGCCATGGAAGCCTGTGGTGGAAGTGTAAGCCCCATGCTGCCCCAGCACCCTGCCCCAGCCATATCCTCCTCCAGGGACAGTCTCCCACTCTGTCCCAAGTCAGCCCAAAGTGAGCCCAAAGCTAAGGAGTCATGAGCCCAGGTGTCAGTGTGAATAAGGCCTCAGCTCGACTTGCAGATGTACACAGTGGGCCCTCTGGTTCTTCTTTCTTTAATTCACTCTCCTGCCCCAGCCCTCCTCCAAGGGTTGGCACCTCTTGTGCCACTACACCTGAATTACATTTTTTTTCTTCTGACCCCTTCAATGCTGTCTAGGGTTTCCCTTCGTCTTCTTTTGTCCTGACTCTGTTCTCACCCAGAGCAATGTCTATGTTCTATGTTTCTATGAATGATTGTGGGGTTTTGAAGGATGAGTAGGAGTTTGTCAAGCAGATATGATAATGAAGGCAGAGCCACATAGAAACTCAGAGACAGGTGCTATTGCACACACTTGTAATCCTAGCACTCAGGAAGCTGAGGCAGAAGGATTTCAGTTTTGAGGCTAGTCTGGGCTGCACAACAAGATTCTGTCTTAAAGAGATTATTTTGAGGCGAGCAGTGGTGGTGCTCACCTTTAATCTTAGCACTCGGGGCAGAGGCAGGAGGATCTCCTGAGTTTGAGGACATCCAGGGCTCACAGAGAAACCGTTGTATGGAGGTTGAACATATGCAAACTTTCCCTTAAACACAGGGATTTGGGTAGTGTGTATGGCCCACTGGCAAAAGCTTCTGGAGCTAGAACTTCTAAAGTCTCCAGAAGCTGTCAATAAATACTGTTCATTCCCTAAGTATGTGGAGTCTTTGAGGACTAACATCACGAGGCACTCTCTTTGGAACACGGTTCGGCTCTTGTCGCTTAGCTTTAAGGTAGTGTCTCATATAGCCTAGGCTGGCCACAAACTCCCCATGCTTTATCTCCCCAAGTGCTGTGACCACAGGCAGGGACCTCTAGGCTGTCTGCAGCCTTGAAGTCCTCTCTAGGTTGAAATGGCGATGCCTGCTCTCTGAGGCCTATACTTGTCCCCCACATCATCTAACCCTGCCTGTTAAGGTCAGCTCCATGTCTATATGTCCAGATTGTTCAGATCCTCAGCTTTTGAGGGAAATTCAATCTGAAAACAAGGAACTCAGTCACTGTTGGTTCAATCCTCTGATGCCAGGATTGCTTCAGTCCTTGGGAGCAGACCCTGAGATTCAGGGAGGTATCCATGGATGTCATCCAAATCTACCTGGGATAGGTAGCCTGCGGCCATTCTGTTTGCCGGCACCAAGTGGTAGAGTGCCTTCGTCTGTTCCACAAAGTCCCAGGTCCCATTCCCAGCACCCTGTCAACCAGGCACCGTGGAGTACACCTGTCATCCCAGCAGTGAAGAGGTGGAGATAGGGGGATCAGGAGTTCAAGGCTAGCCTGGGCTACAGAAACAACAAACAAAACCCAAACACACAACATAGCAAATGTCTTTGTACTCAAAGCTTCCTTTTCAGGGAGGGCTCTTGACACAATGGCTGGGTCCCCTCCCTTTCTGCTTCTCCTCCATTCTTTCCCACACCTTCCATCAGTGTGACCTCCAGCAGTGTCCCCCTGTCAGGGTGACCCCCAGCAGTGTCCTTCCAGGGAGCCCAGCTACCTCACCTTGTGTCTCAGGTGGAAGAATGGGATTCTAGAAGAAATCATGAATGCTGAGTACGTGATCACAGAGATCAACGGGATAGTCACCTATTCATACTCGCTGACGGCTGCCACTGCAAACTGCCGGTCACAACCTCAGAACTGGAGTACCTTTCAGACAGAGCTGGGCAATGTAGACCAAATGTCTGTCTGGAACAGAGAGGTAGGCGGGGTTCCACCCACGCTGCTGGTCTCCCCCGACTATCCTATCAATGTGGAGCTGGAGGCTGGAGGGACCCAAGACAAAGCCTAGGCTATATCTTGCCAGGAGTCCCAGGAAGAGCAGAGGGAAGAGGCTGGTGTGGGGTTAGGAGGCCCAAGGCCCTACCTACAAGAGTTTCCTTAGGAGTTCACTGGAATAGATAGTGCTGGCTGTGTGATGGACAGAGGCTGAGAGTCTAGGGTCATTGGGAATGGTATTCCTCTGTCCTTGTCCCCAGAACTATGTCAGCTGCCACGAGGACAACAAGAACAACCCCCTGCTATGGCCAGAGGTCGAGTATCAGATCTTAGGTGGCCGGACAGACAATAGGGTTATTTTTGGGCAAAGAAATGGAATCTATATCTTCCTTCTGTCTGTGGTGGATCCACACTACAGGTGAGTAGAGGGGACACTACGGCGGGGGGATGTCAAGGAGAGGTGACACAAGGTTTGGTGTCCAAGCCATCTGGCAGATTCCAGGTATAGTGGTGCACGTCTGTCATCCCAGAAATGGGGACCTGGACTGACATAGGAGGATCAATGATTCAAAGCCATCCTTGGCTACATAACTAGTTTGACGGCATCCTGGGCTACATGAGATCATGATCAAAAATCACACAGCAACAGCCTGTAGGCTGTAGCCATGTTAAGGGCAGGGGTTTGGCCTACTCTTCCCCCTTGCTTCCCCTTGAAACTTTGGGCTGCTGGCTTTCACTAAAGATTCCCTCCCCTTGCTGAGGCTGTTTGTCCTCCATGTGCCTGACCACACAGTCTCTCCCACCATTCTTCTCCTGGCAGCAGCTGAAGTTCAGCTGAACTGTCGTCACATTTTTCTTTCCATGCTGATGTGATTGTCCTTAGTCCCCCTCCCCCAAACTCCCAAAGCAAACAGACAACAAACAAACAAACAAACAAACAAACAAAAAACCACATCTTAGTACCCACATGCAAGAAAAAGTCAGCTTGTGAACGGGAGTAAGGATCCAGGACAGACTGTGCTCACTGTCCCCTGCAGCTACTGCAATCTGGACACCATGTTCAGCGTGTACGTGTATGGAGCCTTACCCGTGGCGATGTTCCCACCCGTGCTTAGCATCACACTGCTTGTCATCATGACGCTGCTGAGCATATGGCTGTCCTATGCCATTCCCAAGGAGCTAAGCACGGAGAGGGGCCAGCGCTTCAAGAACTTCTGTTCCGAGCTGTTCCAGAACTTCCTGGAGTCCTACAGCAGCAAACGGCTGCAGGGCAGACTGCAGTGGTGGCTGCGTTCCAGGAGAGTGAGGGACCAGACAGAGAGAATCCCAACAGACTTTCAGAAACAGCAAAACACACAGATGCGGCAGTGAAGGATCTCTGACCTCCATGTATGTTACACATTGGCTCTTGTCCCAATAAATTGTTAACAATAAAGAGTGATCAGGGAGTGTTCCTACCAACCAGGCATTCCACCCCTGACCATGACTACAGCCCCTCATTGGGAGATTCTAGACAGGGGCTCCACCCCTGACCACCATTGGGAGATTCTAGGCAGAGGCTCCACCCTGATTATGCCCCCAGACCCTCTCTGGGAGATTCTAGGCATGGGCTCTACCCGTCAATGCTGAGTTCTGCTGCAGCCTTGGTTCAGGTCCTGAGATGTAGGCATGAAGAAATGAATTGTCCGACCACCAGTTGAGTTTCACAGAAGTGGCTGGCCCTAAATAGCTCCAGCAATCTTTATTTATAGATTAAAAAAAAAAAAAAACACATGTTTTTCTATACTAACAAACAAGTTTTTCCCATCCTCCAGTGTTGACCCCTGGCAAAAACAAGTATGTCAACTATTACATCAAAACATCTTTAAACCAAAATCAACACTTATCATTTTGCTAGATTGGGTAAATATAAGGCCAGGTACATCCTATCTATACAAAACTAAAAGATGACTGACACCGGCACACCTTTTCAAGAACAACTATCTCGTTCAAAATGTATTTACGGAAATAGGGGTGATCTGCCTCTGATGCTGTCAGTACTGAATCAGAGCAGCTCCTGAATTCTCAGTGATAGCTGGCATCCCCAGACAAGAAACCTAAGAAGCATCAGCTCCCAAAGGGGAAAACATTTGAGAAAAGAAATGGAGTTTCCAGGAATAATCACATCTGTCTAATGTATAACTGACAAGACAAAACTAAAACTGCCAAGAGAATCATCAATATTAGGAGAGTGAAGAGAGCATGCAGGCCACACATTCCCAGATGTGTTACATGAACTCTTCCTACCAACCTGGTCCTACAGCCGCGTCAACCCCAAATGAACACACAGATGCCTTATTAGTTATGAAAATGTTGGCTGTTGGCTAGGGTATTTTATTGGCAAGCTCTATCTTAATTATCATCCATTACTTTTACTCTAAGTATTTCCACATGGTCTTATCTTAGACCTGCAACTCCTTTGCTTGCTACATGATGACTGCTCAGCATCTCCACAGAGAAGAGAGCGATTTCCAGTTTGAGCCTGCTTATATCCTGATTCTGCCTAGCTACATCACTTCCTGTCTGGCCAATCAGCCAAACTGTTTTATTCATTAACTAATAAGAGAAACATATATACAGAAGAACATTCCCCATCACAGTTGTATTCTGCACTGTACCAAAGTCCATTAGTCCTTGCCCAGTGAGACTGTCCTTGTGGGCTTTGGCCTTATCTGGAGAACCACTGGACAAGCATATACAGGTCTGAAACTAAGCTTCAAGGCTCCCAACACCTCACCATGCCCCCAGTCCCTCACTAGGGGATTCTATGCAGAGACCCCACACCTGATCATGCTACAGCCCCTCACTGGGGGATTCTGGGCAGGGGTTCTACCCCTGACCATGCCCCCAGACTTTCACTGGGGGATTCTAGACTGAGGCTCCATCCTGACTATGCCCCTAGACCCTCACTGGAGGATTCTAGGTAGGGGTTCTACCCCTGACCATGCCCCTAGACCTTCACTGAGGGTTCTTAGGTAGGGGCTCCATCCTTTTCTTTGAGCTGCCAACCAGTTCCCAAATAAAGACACAGAGACTTATTAATTATGAATGCTCAGCCTTAGCTTAGGCTTATACCACTATCTCTTATCTGTTTCTCTTCATCTATGTTTTGCAAACTTCAGGCCTTTTTACCTTTCATTTTGTATGTCCTCCTTCCTTGCTTCGGCTGTATCTGTCTGTCTGACCCCTGGCACCTCCCTGGCATCTCTTTTCTTTCTTCCTCTGAGCCTAAATTCCTCCTCCTTACTCCCTGTCTGGAAGTACCACCTATGCCTCCTCCCTTGCCGTTGGATATTCAACTTTTTATTAGGTCAATCGGGTGCCTTAGGCAGGCAAAATAACATAGCAAACACATCTTTATATAATTAAATATTCTGCAACATAAACAAATGCAACATATCTTTGTAAACAAATATTCTGCAACACCTGATCACAACCCCAGCCCCACACGGGGACTCTAGGTGGGGTGCCACCTCCAAACCATGCCCCCAACCATATCTTTAATTGTCCTGCCTCTCTTTTCTCTTTCCCATGCTTTTCCTGTGTCGTGAGGCTGAGGGGAGTAAGTCAGAAGGAAGCCATCATGAGCTAACTCCAGCTTCTCCAAACCAGTCCCCACGGTCAGGAGAAGTGAGTGTTGGGGGTGTCACCCTGAACCCCCATATGTGGGCGATGCCTCTGCATGCAAGCATGAGAACATGAGTTCGTATTCCCAGAACACACACAGAAGCAGTACTGAGGAGTCAGTGAGAGACCCTGACAAGAAGATAAAGGCAGGAGCTGTTTGATTCCAGGTCTGCAGTTTGGTCCCCAAAACAGCTTAATGGCGAGTGGGGGTGCACGGGGTGCCCGGGTCTGCAGAACAAAGGCTCACGAGGGGGCTGAGTCTGCGGGGTCTGCGGGGCGGTGAGCACAGGTGTGCTAGGGCTGAACGGCGTGGGACGCCACAAGAGGGTGTCCGGTTTGCGGGGCGTGGCGCACGTGGTGCCCGGCGGGGACGCGGTGAGGAAGACACCTGATGCCCCGCATTGACAAGCACACACAGGTACAAGCGCACGCACGCACACATTTATGTACATGCACGCGCAGGCGCTGGCATCGCAGTTCTCTGCTGCCCTCCAGTGGTCCACATGTGCAAACCTCTTCCCAGGACTTGTGCAGCCTTGGATTTGGGATTCAGAGGACCTGCGGATTTCGTCCACATACCCAGCACAGGAGAAGGTGAGGCACAAGTTTGTGCCACCCCGGACTAAAGAGTGAAACCCTGTGTCAGAAATGCAACCAACCAGTGCATGACAGTAAAGAACACTAGGCAGGCAATCACCCGACACCCAGGACTCGGGCGCTGTGTTAGCGGAATCATGTTCAGCTACATAGCGGGTACAAGGCCAGCCTGAACTACATGAGTCCCTGGCTCAAGGATATAATAAAATAATAATCAAAATAATAGGACAATTTTTCCCTCAAAGGAAAGAAAGCTGTGTCTCTGTCCCCAGCAGGAACTAGCTTTGTATGCTACACTGTCTCTGAAGGCAAGTTGTATTGATTGACACACACATGTCATACTCAAGATAATTGAACCCGCATTTCTGGAGGAGAAGAGGGACAAAGAATTCGGGCCATATCTTTTTCTTTTTTCTTTCCATTCCTTTTTTTTTTTTTTTTTTTTTTTTTTTTTAGATATGGTCTCATGTAGCCCAGGATGGCCTCAGACTAACTGTGTAACTAAGGATCAACTGATTGGAACTCCTGATTTCCTGCCTCCACCTCCCTGGTTTTGGGGTGATAGACATGCACCACCAGGCTTGGTTTATAGGATACTGCAAATGGAACCAGGGGCCCTGTGTATTCTGTGTGAGAGCTTTGCCTACTGAGCCACAGCCCATATTAGAAAACCCTTGCAGTTGTGGACCATCTAGAATTTTTTTCCTGGAACACTGGTAGAGATGAACTGAGAGCCTGCCAGAGGGGAGTGCAGGCCTGAGGGGCAGTAGACCACCAACTTCCCATTGTAGAATCAACTGCGCAGTGTGTGGTGGCTTGGAAAGGAATGGCCCCAAAGGAAGTGGCACTATTAGGAGGTGTGGCCTTATTGGACATACTGTGTCACTATGGAAGCAAGCATTGAGGTCTCATGCTCAAGCCATGTCTAATGTCTCAGACCACTTCCTGCTGCCTGCAAGTCAGCAGGATGTAGGACACTGGCTACTTCCCCAGCACCGTGTCTGCCTGCATGCCACCATGTCCCACCATGATGATAATGGACTAAACCTCTCAAACTGTAAGCCAGTCCCAATGAAACATTTTCCATATAAGAGTTGCTGTGGTCATGGTGTCTCTTCACAGCGATGGGAACCCTACCTAAGGGACTCTGCAATCTTCACTTTCTGGGCCCATAGCTCCTGATTCTCTCAGTGTCTTCAAAAAGCCAGTGCTGGGTTCTACCCAGTAGATCACAAGGAGTCGCTGAATGTGGTGTGACACGGCTTCAGCTGCACAGACATTGTTGACACAGAACCACAGGGATGACAGGACTGCTGTTGATTTTCAGGTCTCATCCACCTCTTGGTATTGTGTGGCTGGAAGGAGATGGTGCCCTTGATACACAAGCCATGCCCAGCACTTCCACTGCCTGTGGAGGAGGCAAAGGCCAGCTACTGTTTAAAGAGCTATCTTTATCATTTGTGTTCCATATGGATGTGTGTGTACACATAAACACAGTTCCTATGGCAGTCACAAGAGGGCATTGCAACCCCAGGAGTGGGAGTTACAGTTGTGAGCTGTCTGATGTGTGTGCTAGAAATGGATTCTCTGAAAGAGCAGCCAGTATTCTTAACCCCTGACCTGTCTTACAGCCCCTTCATCTAGTATTTAACAGTCTGTTTCCTTTTTTAGTTTCACTAAGATCTACTTAGGGGCTTATTGTTTATTTATTTAGTTAGTTAGTTTGAAACAGAGTTTCAGTATGTAGCCCTGGCTGGCCTAAAATTCACTTTGTGGAGGAGGCTGGACTAAAACTCATAGAGATCCACCTGCCTCTGCCTCCCCAATGCTGGGATTAACTCATGTGTATGCCACCTATTTTAAATGATGTCAAGCTGCAAGGTTCACACAATAGCCAAGAAAGCATCATATGGATGGAAGTTTACAGGGTCAATGACAGGGCAGAAGGCAGGAAAACCTACTCAGGACTGCTCAGACAGGTCAGATGTGACAGGCTGGGACCAAGGACACAGCACTTGCCTGGCCCTTGTGTGGTTTCGGGTTCGAGACCCAGTACCACAGAGGAAAAGGCGAGTGATGGGAGCTGGAGAAATGGGTTATCTGGTAAA